GTATTTGAAATCTTAAAACTTGGTGCTCTAATCAATTCCTGCACTGAACGATCTCAGCATGTCTGTCAAATGAGCACTGCAGCCCAGGATGCTTCTGCAACCACAGTGAGCTCACAGAGCTTTGGCCCCAGAGGGGTGGCCTGAGGAGCAAAGTAAGCCTGTTAAAGCCTGTGATTCAGATATTTGGGAAGAGAGGGAATTCAAAGATGAGGCTGCAGCTCCTCCAGTTTTTTCAGCAGTCTTCTGATGAAGAGGATCCATCCTGTTGCTTGCTGTGGGTGTGCAGCACATCGAGCTGAGCACTCTTTCCTGGCAGGGTGCAGAGGTTTCAGGATGTGCTCTGTAATCAGGTGGATGAGAGCAGAGGGATCCCCTCTTCAGGGAGCTTTGGCTCTTTTAACCCCTAGGAAAACAACAGATTTACAAAACTCAGTGGAACTGCTTCCCTCAGCTCCTTCCCCTTACATGATGCATCACATAATAATTGTATATTTGTTGAGAAACAGCTGGGGAGCTCCACTAAATAAATAAAATATCAGGTAGCAGTGTATTTCCATAAAAAGGTCTTTACCAGATGGGCAATGCTTTGAAATGAAGCACAAGGTAGGCGAGGATTTTTTCCCTCCCTTGTCAGCCAGGGAGCTGAGCCATCCTTCAGCGTGGCTTTGGCTCTGGAGCTCAGCATTGTTTGGAAATCCCATTTCCATTCCAGCACGGTGAGGATGAGCACTGCCTCAGCAGGGTGCAGAGCTGCTGATTCATGCATGCACCAAACACTGCTGCCTCACTATATCACACCACTGCTGAAACCCCTTCACTGGCTTTCTGTCATGCAACAAATTTATTTGAAAGTGTGTGGGCCTTTTACTGCCTGGAATGGCTTGACTTGTACTTTAAATACTGCATAAACCAAATTTAGAGATATATTTCTTGCTTCCCTCTGTCCCCCCCCATCACTTTTTTTTGCTTCTGACTGTCCAATTGGTTGCAGTAATTCACTGGTGAAGAAGACATTTCTTAGATTTCCAAGAGTGCCAGCTCCTTAACCTTTATAAAATTAAGGAGAATGAATCATTCGTGACTTTTACATCTTTCTGGAACGCAAGTATTTGTTAGATGCAGGCTGCCCAGGGCAGTGCTTTGCCTCAGTTTAACTTAGTTGTAAATGTTTGTAAATTCCCACATAATGTCTCAGCACAATGGAAACTATTGCATCTGTGGATTTATTGAGAGAGGCACTAAACATATTTCAGCTGGAGGAAAGGAAGAGGAGGCACTTATCTGCTTTACTGTGCTATACAGTATATACAGGCATCTCATATTTTGTGAACATAAATGCCAGGTTGACTCAAGAGATCTGTGGATCAAGTGTTGTTTGTAACCTGCTCCAAATGCTTCAAACTGCCTTGAAGTTTCATCTCAGCTGTGAGGCCTTTTACCATCTTTCAGGATCCCTGGTGCACAGGGAGCTGCTGGGAGCTGAGATTTTGGAGCACAGGATGAACCAAGTAACAGGGAGTAGGTTAAGGTTTAGGTTGCACTTGGCAATTCTTCATTCTTAAGGGAAAAATGACAGGTTTAGCTTATTTTCTTAAGCCTTATTCTTATTTTCTTAAGCCTTTTTCTTCTTATTATTTTCTTGAGCCTTATTCTTATTTTCTTACCTTATTTTCTTAAGGGACTTAAGTCCCCTGGCTTGCAGGGCTTGGGGACAAACTCCTCTTTGAGCAGCACACCCAGGGCACCTCTGCCTGCCCCTTTCCCTCCACCAAGACAGGAAAGGAGGATGCTGTGCCCTGCAGCAGCTCACTGCACCCAGATGACAGCAGGAAACGTTCTCCAAAGTGCTGAGAGATTTCACAATTCCACATCCTGAGTGGAGCTTACTTCCCTGCACCTCTGGCTCATCTTAGTAAAAAAGATAAATATTTAGCCTTCTCTAAAGAAAGAAAAAAAAATAGGAAATTCACAATTTCAAGCCACAAAAGCAGAGGAGCATGACTCTTGAAAACTGTAGAACCTCCCTCTTGGAAGACATTAATAACTTATTAAGAAATACTTTCAGCCCTGATTTAACACCCACTTAAGTAGAACTCCTTCTGTCTAGATAGGGTAAGGCTGGGACACCCCTCTGATGGCTGTTTTCTACGATTGTCACAAACCAAATTTTGCAGCCATGTCCTTTTATGATGAAGTTCCCTCAAAGAATAACTTGCTCACTTTAATCACGTTTTCTCCGAGATTTATGGCTTGATGCTTATTCACTGGCGGAGCTTCTCCACGTGAAATGTCAGTAAGCCCGTTATAAATTGCTCCTGGCATTCCTGCTCTATCTTTTACTTGGCCAGGAGTATTTCTACCTGAAAGTGATAAATTCCTGCTATAACTACTTTATGTGCTCCAGTAATTACGCTGTAGAGGGATGGTGGGGGCTGCGTCTCTGTGCAGGTACCACCTAAAAAATATCAAGCTGCAAAAGTGGGAGATTGGGCTGTGGCTGGGGTGCTGCAAGACCCACAGACTGAGGGAAAAACCACCCTGGAAATCTGAAATAACTGACTGGTGAGGTATCTGTGCCTGATATTTATATTTATGCTGTGTTAGACATGTGAAAAATGCCAATCACTTGTTTTTAAAATTTTAAAAGTTTAAGAGTAATAAAATGGTTATAAAAATAGTAATATAATTAGAGTAATAATAATTTGGACAATTTGAATTAGGACAATAGGAGACAATAGAAACAAAGATTTACAGTTAAGAGACAGTCCGGGCAGCATAAGCCCGAAAAATGACCCACATTAACAGAGGATTAACCCTTTAAAACAATAACCTGTTGCATATTCATACACCTTGTACATGATGCATAAATTCCAAACACAGGATTCTGTCTGGTCAGTGTCAACTTCTTCCTCTTAATTCTGACGGTGTCTTCATACCTGAGCGAGGCAGGAAGAAGTTTGTTCCTTCTGATAATGGGGCAATAAATTGTTTTTCTCTGAAAGATTTAGGTGTCCTGTGGCTGCTATCTCAGTGCGAGTCCTTTCTTTAGAAAAAAAAGTATCCTACATAGCATAGTTTCTATTTTAACATTTTGTTATAACCTAAAACTATATTTAACACAATACTTAAGAAAATTAATACAGCATAACTTTCTAACACAACACATATAATATCCATTTTAATGTTTGCAAAAAGCCAATCATAAAATACACATTTTTCACAGACATATTTGTTATAGATACAGAGACACTGGGAAGACGTACATAGGAGCATCAGGTTTGGGTAGGAGCTCAATTTGGATGCTGTTGTGGTATCTAGATGGGCTGAGACCAACAGCATGAGGTTCAAGAAGGCCAAGTGTGTCCTGCACTTTGGCCAGGATAACCCCCTGCAGCTCCAGGCTGGGGCAGAGGGGCTGGAAAGCTGGGGAAGTGCCAGAGTCAGTGACTGAACATGAGCCCAGGTAGGCAAGAAGGCCAATGGCACCCGGGCTGTATCAGGAATAGTGCAGCCACAGGAGCAGGGAGGCGATTTTTCCCCAGTGCTGGGCACTGGTGAGGCCACACCTCGGGTGTTGTGTCCAGCTCTGGGCACTTCAGGACACCAGGGATGTCGAGGGGCTGGAGCAGGTCAGAAGGGCAGTGGAGCTGGGGAAGGGACTGGAGCACCGGGAGCAGCTGAGGGAGCTGGGAAGGGGCTCAGTCTGAGGCAAAGGAGGCTCAGGGGGGCCCTTGTGGCTCTGCACAGCTCCTGACAGGAGGGGACAGCCGGGGAGTCAGGCTGTGCCCCCAGGTGTGAAAAATGCGTATTTTATGATTGGCTTTTTGCAAATTTTAAAATGGATATTATATGTGTTGTGTTAGAAAGTAATGCTCTATTAATTATCTTAGTATTGTGTTAAATATAGTTTTAGGTTATAACAAAATGTTAAAATAGAAACTATGCTATGTAGGATACTTTTTCTTGAAAGAAAGGACTCGCACTGAGATAGCAGCCACAGGACACCCAAATCTTTCAGATAAAGAGAATTTATTGCTGCATTATCAGAAGGAACAAACTTCTTCCCGCCTCGCTCAGGTATGAAGACTCTGTTGGGCTTAAGAGGCAGAAGTTGACACTGCCCAGACAGAATCCTGTGTTTGAATGGAATTTATGCATCATGTACAAGGTGTATGAATATGCAACAGGCTATTGTTTTTAAGGGTTAATCCTCTGTTAACGTGGGTCATTTTTCGCGCTTATGCTGCCCAGAAAAAGGTACCCGGACGTCTATAACTCTTTGTTTTTATTGTCTCCTATTGTCCTAATTCAAATTGTCCAAATTATTATTACTTTAATTATATCACTATTTTTATAACCACTTTATTACTATTAAACTTTTAAAGACAAGTGGTTGGCATTTTTCACACAGGGAACGGGGATGGGACATGAGGAAATGGCTTCGAGCTGCTTGAACTTGTATCGTCATTTGCCACTAAAGTTCGGAAGTTCAGACGCTCTGGGTTCTGCAATAGACTTAGAGACTCGTGCGGAGGCATTTCTGCAATTACCCTCAAGTTCAGAACTTTAAACTGTAACAAGCTCCCGCAGTTTGATGATCGTAGAGACAAAAAGAGTGTCACGACTGTCGAGCTATTCTTTCAGACCTAGTCGTTCCTGAAGACATTAACAGCCTATTTTCTCTAATTACTGCAGTCTCCCACCCATGGGGTCGCAGGGGAAAACATTAACACCCAATTTTCCTGCCACACCCTGACTGACCCCGTGCTCCTGGCTCTCCGCCCCGAGTTTCGCCCCTCCCGCCATTTCCCCGGCGCTCCCCTCACGGGCGGCCCCGCCCCGCTCCCGGCGCGCGGGAAACGCTGAGGGCGGGCAGCGCGCGCGCGGCTCCCGCGCCTGCGCAGAAGGGGCGGGCGGGGGATTCGGAGCGGCGGCGGGAAGCGCTGAGGGAAGGAAGGGCTCAGGTCGGAGCTGATGAGGGAACCGCTGTGAGGGAAGCGATGAGGGAGGCGCTGCGCGGACGCTCGGGCAACCAGCCGGCCCCAGGCAGCCCCCTCCGCCCTGCTGCCCCCTCCATGGCGCCGCCCGGGCACACCTGGTCCCACACCCGCGCCGCGCTGGGGCGGCTGGAGAAGTTACTGAGCTGCTCCCGCTGGTAATGGATGCCCTTCTTCCCCCTTCCCCCCCACCCTGTCTTCCTCCACGGCCCCTGCCGTGTGTGTTAAAAGTGCCGCGTTTCTCCTTGCTTTGCCCACAGCGCCGGTGTCCTGCGGGAGCCCGTGTCCCTGGGGCAGTGCGAGCACGTCTTCTGCCTGTAAGTACCGGGGCCCGCCGCCGTGCTGTGGAGAAAGGACGGGGAGCGGGCACCGCTGGGGCCTGCTGCTCCTCCCGGGGAGCTGAGGGGGAGAGGAGAGCGGCAGCTGTTGTTCCCCTGCGGGTCCCATGCCGGAGTGCTGGTTTAGGCTTCAGGATGCTGGCCAGGTGTGAAGGGAGTTTTCAGTGTGGTGGAGGGAATTGTCCGCTTGTAGTGAGGTAAAAATCCAAAACAACCTGCAGTTCGCATCACCCTCAACTCCTATCTCTTTCTCCTCACATTAAGAAAAAGAGCAGCTTGGGAAGGTGTTTCCTGTTTCCGAGGGGTTTTCCTCTGCCCCTGAGGGCTGGGTGGTGCTTGTTGTTGGTTTGGCCTTCTACCAAGACTTTGCTCCTTCAGTTGTGCCGCTGTTCTCACACGCATCCAAACGCGGTGGCATAGGCAGGCTTATCTCTGCTTAGAGTTGGTCAAATAATCTGAGTGCTTCAAAAAACTGAACTTAACTTAAAGTTAACTTTTAACTTAAACTGACTTTAATTAGAAGCGTTCTGCCAGCAAAGCGCTTCTGAAGTGGTGGTGGTTGCGTTGCCCGTCGTGGGACAACTCACTGCATTGTCAATACAGGCAGAGGCTGAAATGTTTGTGTCCCAGAGCCGCCTTTGGGTGAGGTGGGGGAACCTTCTGGCCATCTTTGGGTGAGGTTGGAGAACCTTTTGTGTGTCACTGCTCTTCATGGCATGCACATGCAAGCACCGGGAGTTAAAAGGTCTGCTGTGTATCTTAATGAGTCTCTCTGCACAGCGCAGGTGTAAGCAGTCTGATAAAACCCTACCTTTGTTAGGGTGAAGAAGAAAGATCCTGTCTAACCTCTACTTGTAAACCTGCTGATACTCAGCTTTATGTCCTGTTATAGTCAGTATGTCAGTAAAAGCTGAAGAAACCCTCCCTCCCTCATGGATGTGTGTCCACTCTATCTTCAGCTGCACTTTTGTAATAGGAGTTTTCAGTGTTGAAGGCCTGAAAGGTGAAATACAAGTAAAACATTTACTGGCTTTTTAAGGAGTAACTGGTTATGGGACAGGTGCCCTCAGCATCTCTTCCCCCAGTATGCATGTACTAAAAGGCACACAGGTGATTTATTTCTCTCCAGACACGTGTTCTTTCCAAGCTGATAGTGGCCACTAATTGCTGTAGAAGGTTCTTGAAGAGGGAGGGACCTTTTACAAGGGCGTGTAGGGACAGGATTAAAGGAATGGCTTCACGCTGAAAGAGAGCAGGTTTAGTTTGGATATTGAGAAGAAATTCTTCCCTTTGAGGGCAGAGAGGCACAGGGTGCCCAGAGAAGCTGTGGCTGCCCCTGGATCCCTGGGAAGTGTCCAAGGCCAGGCTGGACAGGGCTTGGAGCAGCCTGGGATAGTAGAAAGTCCCTGCCCATGGCAGGAGGTGGAATGAGATGGACTTTAAGGTCCCTCCCAGCTGGAACCATTCTATGATTCTGCTGTTTGAAGGAATTATTTAAGTTATTTATTTCATTGATATGATCTGCCTGCAGATCATTTTGTAAAATAACCCCCAGAAACTTGTAAAAAATTTTTATAAACGTGAACATGTAGTTTAATAAATGTAATTGTTCAGCTGTTGGGCATCTAAGGCCTTGTGGTTTTATTTTGGATAGCCCATGTGTATTCTAGGTGATAGATTTAAATCACTCACTGTTCATTAAAGTTTTGTGGGGTTTTTCAAGAAGAATTTTCCAAACATCAGGAGAACAATGCAGTTTGTATTGATGAGGCTGGAAAAATCAGCTAACAGGAGTTTTAAGCATTCATTAGCAGCTATTTCTTGCTCCAGAAAAAGGAGTTTATTTGCTATTACCCGAGTTATTGTTGTGCCTGATCTTTTCCCTCTTGTATGCCTGACCTTTTAGCAGCAATTCCATCTGTCCTTTGATGACTGAGTCTTGGGCAGTGGCTGTTTTTTAAAATAAACCGAAGGAAATTCAGATTAATTTCTTTAGAAGCAAACTAGGTATTTTCAATAATATTTACAGCTACTATGAACTATTCTCAAAACTAAATTACATAAAACCACAACAAGTGTATTTGCCACACCTTTATAATCCCTCCAGTATGTCCAGGTTGCTGCTATTTCAGTTACAACTCAGCTGTTTGCCTGCATATTGTCCATTGATGTTTAACTATTGAAAGACAAATTTCCATTTGTAACCCTGGAGTAAAAATGAGTTAAACTAAACTCTGTTGTAGCTGCAACTTTTAAAGAAGCACTCTCAAGTCTGACTTTAGTTTTGTGACATTTACGTTCTGTTAAATTGAGGTTCTGTTACATTGAAGTTCTGCCGGGTTTAGGTTCTGTTAAGATTAATTTCTGTCAAGTTTGAGTGTTGAGAGCTGATTCTGGTTCACTGCTGAGGACAGACTTCTTTTTATTTATTAACACACCTGGGGAGGATTGGGATGAGTGGTTGGAGCTGGCTCCTGGAATCTGGAGTGGGAGATCTGAAATGAACGTGCTGCAGTACTCAGGTCACACCTAAAACACCCGGTTCTCCCTCTCCATGGGTTTGTCACGGCCAGGGGAGTTTATCAAGAGCAGTTTCTGCAGTTTTGGTGGGGTAGCTGTGCTAGGTTACCTGCAGTCATTACCAGCTGACTACAAAACCCCAACCAAACAGGTAATTAAGAGATGTTGTGCTATGAAGGTCATTCTGCATTTCCTTTGCAGTGCCATTTACAGGGGTGGGAAGCCTGAGGCCAGCTTCCCTAGAGAAGGACACCTGTTTGGCCCTTCCCTTTGCTCCCAAGGCATTTGTCAGATATCACCTAGGATATGTTGGAGCCAAGAGCTGTGGTTCAGTCTGCCAAACACAGCAGAGCCTCAGCCACAAGGGCCTCTCCCTGTTTAAAGCACAAAACACACCTAACAGCAATTTTTCTATGAGCAATGGTCAGGTAACTTACACCATTCAAATTGATTCAGTTTTGGCTGTGTGGAACTGTAACCTCTATTTAATAGGATAGATGGGGGGTGAGATGTAAGTGGCCCTTGAATGTTGCAGTTCAGGTGACAAATCATAAGGTCTTCTCACTGGCCTAATCAAAGAATAAAAGATTTTAGGCTGATTTGGGGAGAGTAGTATTAGTGAGTAAATCTCTGTCCCCACCTATCCCACCATGATCATCTGATATAAATGCTGTGAAAGAGAGCAGTGATAAGATACTCTGAGCACCTGGAGATCCTCGTGGGACTTCATACAGAGAAATGTTCACACAGGTGAAAGTTCTTCACAGCAAGCAAGTCCCTCACCTCCCATCGATGCTGTTTACATTAAGTTCTGCCTTGAACTTAACGTATGGAAAGAGAAACATGTTTGGGTTTGGAGAATTTGCTTCACCAAGCAAATTTTAACTAGGAGAAAGTGGAAATTTTAGTTTACTATGGGTTGGCTATTTGGCACTTGTTTAAAAATGGAAGGCTGCAGAATAGCAGGTGTAAAAGAATTTGTAGTTTTAACAGTGAAGCCTAATTGTTACCTGGAGTCAAACAGCAGTGGAGCATTTGAAAATTTGGGTCAGCTTGTGAGGCACTGTGTTTTTCATGATTGTCCTGACAAGGCTTGGGAAGTGGGTTGCTTAATTTTCTGTTTAGCTTGTCACTTGCCATGATAAATCTGTGCTGTGTTTGTGACTAACTCGTGTGGGCTTTCCTACAATGCCAAATAAGAGGTTGTGGCTGGGCTGTGAAACGGTTGATGGTGGCTGCAGTGGGTAACTTCCTCTGGATGATGGGTGTTCCCTCTGCCTTGCAGGTCCTGTGTGGGTGACTGTGTTGGCACCGAGTGCCCCGTGTGCCGCATGCCAGCCTGGGTGCAGGACGCACAGATCAACCGGCAGCTGGACAACATGATCCAGCTCTGCAGCAAGCTGCGGCAGCTCCTGAGCACCGACACCTCCGGTGAGACTCGCCCCCTGGCGGCTGCAGAGCCCAGGCCACCCCCTTTCACTTCCCGGCAAATGAGCAGTGCAGCCTTGCTTCAAATTCCAAGAGGCTGTTCCAAACCATGTTTGGAAAATGTGATTTGAAGAGAGCTGTCTGTATGGATTGCTCGCTCTTTGAATCTGTTTTACCGAGCAATCCGCGTGAGCGGGTTAGTCCATAATTCATTAGAATCCGTTTGCCAGAATTAGACACAAGTGGGAGAGGTTGCTGAGTCACGTGGCACAAAGCAGGGGCACAGGTTGTCATATCCTAGGGGAGCCCCAGAGTGTAAAGTTCCCCTAGTAAAGAATTAATGCATGTCTTCTCCTGCCTCTGGCTTTCTGTGCACTGACTGAGTCGTGCCTGCTGTCCCAGTCATTTTCAGTTCAGGGTTTTGCACATGGGAAAAATGATCTATGTTCTTTGCCTAAAAAGGGGGAAGAAGCAAGTCTTAACTCATTTGTTTTCTGGTCCCTAACAATCAGCTAATCTGCTGCAGTGAAGTTTTGTCCTTGCTGACTGCTAGGAGATTGCAGAGAACATACTCTGGGAATGAATCTCTATGAAGTTTTAGGTTGTTTGTCAAAGTGGGAAAAAGTGTAGTGAAATCAACATGGGTGATTGTGTGTTTCTTCTGCGAGCTCAGAGAGGAGCATTTATGTAATACCAAGTTTTAGAAAACATTAATTTAGTTGTCAGATACAGAATAGGTAATTCTTCCTTCATTGTTGCTTCCTAATATGTTTGTCTAAGTTAAAGATTCCTTTTCTATGTGCAATCCCATCAGCACCTTCACTCATTTATGGAATATCTCTTTATTGGCACCAAAATGGATTTTAAGTGATGAGGCTGGAAGCCTGTGTCCAAGTGGAAAGGAATACATTTTATATAGGTATAAAATCCTATGGTGATTAAATCTTCTGGAGCATAGAAAACAGATGATGGCTTAAATAGGATTTCAGGGAAACATTTTAAGTGATGAAGGCTTTTAAAAGCACACTTGGAAGAGAATCATTCTGATAGGAACTGTTTGTGATGCTATAAATAAAGCATTTAAAATACAACATGGTAGCATTATTGATACTGTTTAGATGTTTTAGAGAGCTCTTAGAGATGGATTAACTCTTAAAAATTGGTCTGTTTAACTGTACTCAAAATTGAATAGTACATTTAATCCCATAGATCTTCTAAAATGAAGTGTGTGTGGTGTGGCTAGGCCACAGAACAAAATGAGGTTCTTTTTTTTATCATCACTTGTTCTGACTTAAAAGCAGACACAAAATAGAAGTTTACAAGAGTGTCTTATATGAGATGACATGGGAGATGCCTTTCTGTCACTTGTAATCTTTGCAGTGTGCTAAGGATCAGCACAGTGGCCTTTTGGATGTGTGATACTGAGCTTAGGAGCAAATCCTCCCCAGCTGGTAATAGTTCACTGGCAGGAATGGCTTCAATTCCTAAGTAAATCAGCACACCTCTAAGAACAACCAATTACATATTGGGGAAAAAATATATATATATGGTTGAAAATCACAGGATATTGTAGCTTTAGAGATTTTTGAGAGCAAATTCTTCAGGATGTTTTGTCCCTCTTCTCCAGCAAGTCCCTCACCTCCCATTGATGCTGTTTACATTAAGTTCTGCCTTGAACTTAATGTATGGAAAGAGAAACATGTTTGGGTTTGGAGAATCATGGGTTCTCTTCTTTTGTTAAGGACTTGCTTTCATGGCCTTACAGCACTGTACTTCTGTCAACAATATTTTCTTCTTTTGTGTTAGAAGGTCAGAAATTGTACTTCATGTTCCAGTAAAGGAAGTAGACCAAAAAATCCATCTTTCAGTGCAGGAAAGGAAGAGAAGCAGTTGAAAAGAAGAATATTTCCATACATTTGTTTTATGTCCCTTTTGCATATTTGCTTGTTTTGAGACAGTTGTGGCTTCTCTTGAATCTTGTTGGAAATCCTTGGTGACACTGAAATTTCTAAGTGCATCCTACTAGTAATTTTTTTTGTCTCTGACAGAGCTGGTGCATGCAGTAAGTTGTGTGTTTTTCTTTTAAAAAATGCCATGGAACTGCTGTGACTGAAAAGGATAGGGTTAAGCTCACACTGAATATTTCAAATACAAAAATCTCTGTACCCTGAGGTTCCACAGAAGATGTGAGAGGGATCTTACTTTGTATTCCATTGAGATAAAAATAGCTTCTGCCAAACAGCATGTGCATTGTAAGGAGCAGCAGCAAATAATTCAGGAAGGACTGCACAAAACAGCTAATACTTCCCTTTTAAATTAGAGGGAAACACAGCCAATGACACTCCTGGGGTGACTGAAGATGAATTGACAAACAAACCTGAAACTGGCTGGAAAATGCAAATTAGAAGTGGAAAATTCAAGCTATAGGTAGGAAATGCTGAGCCTCCAAATTAATTCACTTGTTGGAGGTTTTCTGTGCTTAGTCCATGGAGAGGTGCCTGACTTTCTGGCTGCCCTGTGCTGTAGCTTCCTAAGGGTAAAGGGAAGCTGCCTGGCAGGCCCCACAGGGAGGATGTCTGCACTCTAACCCTTTAGCTCTAGTGTTGCAGAGTCCAAGGCATCTTGGGAACTGACATTGCTGGGATGAGGGGCTTCATGGGTGGGTAATTCCTGAGCACTTGTGGAACCATGGGCATAGTGCACATGAAGCACTTGATTTGTTGATTTACAGTAATGATTTTGAAAGAGAAATTCGAAAGAATTTTCTGTGTGATGTTCTTTAGAAAGAAGGGATTGTTTTAAATTTTCTGAACCATCACCAAGCATTTATAGTTGATTTTAGCTTGTTCTTTGTAGCAATCAGCTTCACTCTTATACATCAAACAGAAAGCCTTCCCCCCTCTTTTCCTGCAGAGCTACACCTTGCAGGAGTTGGTGCAAGCTTCCCAAGCTGGTGCTGATGCTGGTGGACAGTCAGTGAGATCAAGCAGCCTTTACAGTATCATGAGTCTGTTTCACATTTACTGGGTGTGGAACTCCTGTTGTAACAGATTACATTGCATTTCATGGCTGCTGTGACATTTTTCATGACATCTAAAGATTAAGTTTTGAATCGCTGGAATTTCTCCCTTTCCCCTTTGGTGTTGAATACTTAACTTGTAAAATAATCACTCTTCAGTGAAGGCACTAATGTTGCACAGATGGTACCAAAGCTCTTCCCTTTGATTTTTAATAAGGGACTAGTTTGTCAAAGAGATTTCTCAACTTCTCTTCTGAAACCCGTAATAGAGAATAATTTGAAAGGCACACAATGTGCATCATTATATTCCTTTGATGCAGATTAATGATAGCTAAACCACATTTTCTAATTGCTCTTTTTTCCCCCCTGCACCAGCCTGCTATTGCACTGCAGCAGAACTTGGAGCTCTAGTTGCAAGGCACTGACCATCTCCTGGTATTTTTGTGTACTCTCAACCCTTTTAACACTTAAGAAATACAACTCTATTAAATGTCAGCATTGAGAATCTTGTGCTTATTATGTGCAAATAACTCTAAATTAGAAATAATTCAGTTGCCACATTGTGTATCTGAATGTTACATTTAATAGGTAATGGAGACTAAATTTACTGCATTTATTATAGGCTGATTCTAATACTGGTATTGTGGATGCTCTTTATGCTATTGCAGATGCTTAAAATCTAGAATTAGTAAGGAATGCTCTACTGATTTACCTTGTCTAAATGACTCTCTGAAAATTTTTTTAGGACACTTATGTATTAAAAAGACAATTAAATCAAAATCATAATAGTAATTTTTTTCAGTACTGTTTAGATCCAAGCTCTGGCTTCAAACTCTGAGACAGCAGAGAATTCATTGGGATTGATTTTATTGTGAGCAATTTTCTCTGAAGGTACTTTAACTGAATGAACTTAGCTACCAGATAATACCCTCTTTATATAAATTAACATTTACTTATTAAATCATAACAACTTCCTTTCAGCTTCTTGGCTCTGCATCTCCCCTCTTTATTTCTCTCTCTCACAGCTCTGGGTCCATCAGAAGATTCTATTTTCAGGGCAGTAGATTGGCCATTTGTCCAAGTTGCTTGGGCTCCCTACCTTGTACACTTTGGAAAAGGAGGAAGGGGTAGCAGAAAATGCAGTTTCCTGCCCTGGGTGTGCAAGGCTGGCCTCTGGATGCAGTGGATCTCTTTGTCAGGATATGGGCATCTTTTAATCATGTCCCCTGAGTGCCTCCCTGGTCCAGAACATGCAGCATACTGTTACACCTCAGGTGAGGAAGAGCACTCCTTGGGAAGTATTTATTTAGCATATTATTACATTTCCAGCAGGTTTTTAATAACCTGCCTAGTAAATCCCTGCTGAGCAGCCAGCAATGAGCAGATCAGTTCAGGAAGCCTCATGGTGGATTTTCCACAGGCTTTCCTGCTACCAGAAGTGCTACAGCCAGTGTAAATGCTTCATTGTGTTCTGCTGCTTTAGATGATACTTCTGAAGGACAGTGCCTTTGATTGAATTTGTCACTTGGACTTTAAAGTCTTGCTGTGCTATACACATCAAAAAGAATTCTGGCCATCATAAAATTGTTGCACAAATTACTTCTGCAAGCTGATTTTATTATTTCTCTTTACTTGGGGATGACTGATACTTTGAGCAAGATAAATATTTGACAAGGAGATCTGCTAGTTTGTGTAAACACTGGCAAGATGAGAAAATAGTAACTTGTGGTTTATATTTTGATCTGTTTGCAATCAAGCTCTTCCTTTTTTTTAGATGTTATTGTAGGAATGAGATGGGATATGTTCTCAAGGCTAGCTAGTTCTGAGATTTCAGTCTCAATTTCAGTGCTTTTTTTTCTTGTTTGCACCAAGCCCAGCCTCAGAAGAAAACCAAATAGCTGCAGTTCTGTACTTGATGATTATCTTTAGGTGCCTAAATGATTGATTAACCAGCCTCCAGCTGTATTCTTAATGACACTTTTGGTCTGATGCCTTACAAATTCCTCTAGCTGAATCTAACATGTAACAGATTTAATTCCAGGGGTAAGTAAGGTGATTGATATCAAGATTAAGGAAACATTTAACTTTGCAATATTGCTTTAAAAGACAACTGGGAATGTCTGTTTTAGTCTTGAATTACTAGCTGCACAGTTCTCTTTTAAGTGGAGTTTCAAAAGCACTTTTTTTGTGACTAAGGGATTGGAACCAGTGTGTTTGTTGCTATGAGTTTATCCCAGCTTGCTCTGAAAAACTGGCTGTAGTTACTAACACCAAAAATAGAAGGTGTGGAGATAATAAATTAGCCAGAGAAACCTAATGCACTGAAGTGAAAGTGATAGATTGTTGCAGTGAGTGTCTGTCACTTCTAATAATTGAAACTTGATATTGCTTTTTTTTAAGAATAATTAAAACCCTCCCCTCCCTTCTAATCCTGGTCTTAGTGCTGCTTTAAAACAAAATTCATATTGGTTTTGTGTTTGATTGTTATAAATCACTGAGACTTTTGTAGTCCCTGAAGTTTGAGGCAACAGGAAGAATGAGTTGTGCATTTACTTTGGAGGACTTGTCCAAATAACCTAAAATAACTCCAGTTCAGAATGAAGGAATTGGTAAAAAAATCTGCTGTGGTTCTTTAGTGTCAAAAAACCTGTGAAATTAAATTAGTGTCTAACTTTGAGGTGACTTTATAGTCCTTAATTTATTCTTAGGCCATTGAAGACAGTATTTATGTGCTCAGTCCTTGTTCTCAGCTGTTATTTCATGTGCTGGGAGTACAGGATATTCCTGCATCATCCTGGCCATTGATTTGTAATGTGCTGTACAGTGTGATTTATAAAATTGCTCCACTGCATGTTTTTAAAGAAGTGTTTGAGATCATCAAAATGCTTAGATTCCTTGAGGTTATTTACTACCCAGGGGTAAAGGATCAAATGACAGGACACAATTGCTTACAGATTTTCTATATATATTCCTCTGGTTCATCTGCTATATCTGTGGAATCAGTCAAAATTTTTCAGGAATGTTTGACATTTTTATAAGGATATTGTTTTTGCTTGCTTACAGCTATTTTCCTTTCCATCTTCAGATGAACTGTAATACCTGTTTAGAAAATTGTTTCTTTGCACTTTTGTGTATGCACATGCCTCTTTGTTAACCCTATTTCCAAGGAAAACTCAGTGAGAAAACCAACTTCTGTCCTTCTCTGACCTGGTCAGAACTCTGCTGTGCTGTGAACCCAGGCTACTGAAGGAACTTCTCTGCCAGGATGCTCACTTGCCTGATGGATAGCTGTCACTGCACTGGGATTGCTGAGCTCCAGAGTGCCATGTGGCTGGCCAGGGCTTTTAAAGTCACCACATGTGCCTTCTCAGAGGGGACATCTTGCCAGGGCTTTTAAAGTCACTCTATGTGTCCTAGAAGGGTGACCTTGCCAGGGCTTTTATAGTCACCCCATGTGCCTTCTCAGAGGGGTCACCTGGCCAGGGCTTTTAAAGTCACTCTATGTGCCTTCTCAGAAGGGTGACCTGGCCAGGGCTTTTAAAGTCACTGTAGGTGTCTTAGAAGGGTCACCTTGCCAGGGCTTTTAAAGTCACCACCTGTGCCTTCAGAGAAGGGTGACCTTGCCAGAGCTTTTAAAGTCACTCAATGTGCCTTCTCAGAGGGGACATCTTGCCAGGGCTTTTAAAGTCACTTATGTGGCTTCTCAGAAGGGTCACCTTGCCAGGGCTTTTAAAGTCACTCTATGTGTCTTACAAGGGTGACCTTGCCAGGGCTTTTAAAGTCACTCTATGTGCCTTCAGAGAAGGGTGACCTTGCCAAGGTTTTTAAAGTCACTTACGTGCCTTCGCAGAGGGGTGACCTTGCCAGAGCTTTTAAAGTCACCACATGTGCCTTCTCAGAGGGGTGACCTTACCAAGGTTTTTAAAGTCATTCTATGTGCCTTCTCAGAGGGGACATCTTGCCAGAGCTTTTAAAGTCACCACCTGTGCCTTCTCAGCAGAAATGAAGGTGCTCATAGATTGTATTTAGTAACACTTCATCGATTCTTGCAGTTGTTGTTATGATTTTTTTTTTTTGCTTTGTGATGTTCTGAAGAGTACTCCATAATTATTTTTCCCCTTTCCTCATGCACTTAGATTCAGCAGAGGATACATCCACACCACCTGAGTCAGAGTTGGAAAAGAAGAGCAAGAAGGAGCAGATAAAAATGTGGTTCAGCCCAAGAAGCAGGAAGATTCGATGTGTTGTGAACAGGAATCAGGCTGACACTAAAAGCAATGACCTTGGTCAAGACACATCTTCAGTTTATGATTTCTTCCCTTCCCCTCCTCATGAAAAGCCCTCTAAGCCAACAAAAAGACCAACTCAGAGACAGATTAAGAAGATGAAGAAGAAACATCTAGCAGACATTAACAAAGTATGGAGCTTAGAGAAACCTGAGCAGCAAAAAGCTGAGAAGGCTCCCAAGGACAAGAGTGTGACCATCTGCAGTCAGCCAGTAGTGCTGTGCACTCAGGAAGCAGAGAGTCCTGAGGACAGACCTCAGCAGGAGTCTGCCAAGGAAGCTGACTCCAGCAGTAATAATAATACAGAGGATATGGAAGTTCTGCCACAGGTAGAATCTCCAGAGAAGAAAGGTAACAGTGAGGCTGTGTGCTCTGCACGGGACAGCAAGGAAAACAACGGTGCTGCAGAGGCATTGCTGTCAATAGCCAATGAAGTGACACCCTTGAAACGTGCAAGGGGGCACTCCAGACTTCAGGGGACTCCTCAGGCTAAAAGAGCAAGGAGAGGTGAGAGGGGCATTCCTGGGAAGGCAGGCAGGCAGGCTGATGGCTTAGAGGAGTCTCTGCAGGGCTCCCCCATCTCCCCAGCCACTGAACTGACACCAGTCCAGATTTCTTCCTCTGCATCCAAACTCACTGCCACTGGAATGAAGACAAGAAGATCTGCAGCCCTTCAAGCCATTAACAGTCCTTCACTTTCAGAATCTCCCTCTACCCCGTCCACTTCCAAGGGTTGCAGCCAAGTAGCAGCACCACTCAGTCCTTCTGTGGTGAAATCCCCTGGTGTCAACTCAATTGCCAGAAGAAATTACAAGGGAGAGACTTTGCTCCATGTTGCTTCCATCAAGGTAGGACCATTCATCTTCTAGTTCAGCCTTAAGCAGAGGTTTAAAAAGATAAGGTTGATTTAAAAATATTCTGGGAACCAGTTACTTCAGAAGATCCTATTTCAGGGAGGGAAATCTCATTCTAGGTTTATTGGGAAGTTTCCAACCTGATTCTCTGATTTCATAAAGAAATGACTGTTTGAATGATCAAAGATGGTTGTACTTGGAAACTCAAAGCATTACAGTGTCAGTTATACCTGTGATAGTTAGCTCAGCTTTAAGCAGAGGTCTAAAAAGACAAAGTTGTTTTAGAAATATTCTGGAAACCAATAATTTCAGACATTCTATTTCAAGGAGAGAAATCTCATTTTGTGATCTTTTCCTTCTGCGTTTATTGGGAAATTTCTGACCTGATTCTCTGATTTCATGAAGAAATGACTGTTTGAATGATCAAAGATGGTTGTACTTGGAAACTCAAACATTTCAGCGTCAGTTATACCTGTGAGTTTCAGGAAGTGATAAGCATTTAAATGTTCTGGCCTTGTGTGGCAGGCAGCTGTCTCTGATTTGTCCCAAGGAGTTCAGGAAGTATTTCAGATCTCACTGAGTGACCTTGAGCAGTTCAGCCTGAGCTGGTAGCTCAGCCAGGACAAGCTCTGAGTTATGTACATGAAGATAACTCTGTGAAACATTGGTTAACATTATCTAAGTGTTGAGATCCACCACCTGATGCAAGTGTGATTGCCATGCTGAGCCCTACGCTCTGAAGGGAAGGAACAGAGTTGGAGTGTTCTCAGTTTTATGTAAGCTCAGTACTGTTCTTGGAATGACAGCTCTCACTCCTCCTGCTGCTCATATCTGAAGCAGTTCCTGGTGTGGTAGAACTTCATGGCTTTGCTCTCTGCAGGGGCTGTCCTTGCCCATTACTTTGTACAAGCTGGGTAAAACGTGTCCCACTCATCAGATGCTCTCATGGCAGCTCCCTCCCTTCTGAGAGGTCATTTCAAAGAGTTTGTGCTCTGGCAATTTAAATGTGCTTTGTGCTAAATCATATAATACAAATGCTGTGTGGTTAATAAACTGCATACACTGGAAGAATTGATTCCTCTGTAAGCACCTGACATTTATACAGCACTTCTGTCTGGTGAGACAGGGGCTGTTCTTGATGAATAACTCTGTCCTCTTCCAAAGGTGTTCTAATAAGCCACTCCTGCTGCATGAGACCTTTTTAAATGGAAGTGTCAGCTGAGCTGAGTTCAAACCTCATATTTGATGTCATTAATATGGAATTAGGGGGGAAAAAAAATGAAGTGCTGTCCTCACAGGACTCAAGAGCTTTGAAGGAGAGATCTCTTGTTACCTCTTGTCATCAGTCCTGCATATTCCTCTTTATTAAAACACTGTTTACAAATTACCCTTCCCTGATTTTCCTGGAATTTGTAATGAATGCAGTCATGACTGACTGGTTCTGAAAAAAATGGATGTGCCCTGACAAGTTTTCACACAGGTATGGTTTCCAGCAATATGCCAGATGCTTCTTTAGAAAACACAGGTATTTCATCTAAGGAAACAGCATCCCTGTAGCTTGTTGAGGCTTGGAGCCCTGGCATATTTGTGACATGCCAATAAGGTTTCATTGCAAAGCATTCTGATGCTAAATGAAAAATTAAGCAGTTCATGCTGTGGACAAAAAGGATGATAAACATGTTTTGATTATTGAAGTTCAGTGGTGTTGCTGGCACTCCTTACTGGCACTGGTACAGCCACAAGAAAGCTGACTTCCAGCTGGAGTGTGGGCAGTGGGATGGGCTTCTTCAGTCCTGTGTGTGAGTTCCTGTCACTGTTGTCTTTTGATGTTTGTAATTATTGAGCTAAAGTGGGAAATGGCTTCTGTTCCTCATTAGTTCTGCTGTGGTTTTTATCCAGAGCTCCATACTCATTGAGGTGCTCATTAGCAAAGGCTTGTGTAGCTAGGTAGGGCTGCAGGGTGATCCCAACGTTTGCTTTGAAAAGGAACTAAAAGAACACAAGGCAAGTGATCCCTTGGTTATGATCTTTTACCTTGCAGGAGCCCTCTGTGAACTGATAAAAGTATTTTGTCAAACTGCTCTTGAAAATACCAGGCTTTATCCTCTCTGTGTATTTTCAGTGTGGGGTTTAGATTTCTTGGTTTGGGTTTGGTTGGTGCTTTGGGGTTTTTTTCCCTTCTAACTAGTTCAGAATTTTTTTTTTCCTGAAAGAAGCATTTTTCTTCCAGTTTCATTTTATGGGCAATTTTTTTTTCTTGTTGTTTTCACAGCCACTAATGTTTTTCCATGTGTGTAAAAGGAAACTGACTTGTAGCTGCCACCCTACTACCCCAAAGTAAAATGAAGTCGAATTCTCTGGGACTTCATTAGTTATAAAAACAAATCTGTATAATTTTCATTAGCTGTTAGGGTCTACTACCCAGAATTTAATTAAAGCTAATTGAATTATCCCTTTTTTTCTTATTTAAAAGAGATCATAAACAAGGCTAGCAGGCATGAAAACTAAGAGTGTTGTACTGTTTATAATGATTCTGAAGGATTGTCCCCATTTACTACTAGTAGTTATTTTTTTCACTGAAATCAAAATGGTTCTCAAAAAAGGTTCTAGTGTGGATGAACTTAGTGTTGAGTTAAACTGATAAATGAAAATAAAAATGAAAATAAATGTGACTCTTCTTGTAGCATCCAGCAGTCACGTTTATCCTCATAGTCATTAAAGAGGCAAATCCAATTAGTTAAAATACAAAATGTGACCTGTTCAACTCTGAATATTCTAAACTAATGGGAAATTGCCCCATTACAACCCAATCACAACATTGCCCCAATCACAACAGCCCTTCCACATGGGACTATTTTTTACAGTAAGAGCAAATTGTTCCAGGACCAGCTCTTCCATGGCAATTAAATCACAGCACCACTCAAGGAGTCAGTACAGAGTCCTAAATCTGCTGTGGAGAGAGGAACCCCCTGTAGGGGGTAGAATATAAGAAAATAAAGATAGTGTAGAAAGTAATCTTACCCCTAAGGGGTTGCAGCTGGGTTAATTATCAGAAATTAGGAGCAGGCCTGACTTTCCCAGGCCACGGCTGTAAAAGAGTGGGGTGGCTGGGTGAGAAGGGAACTGGAGTCAGTGGCTGCTTGGTGAAGAAGAAAGAGTCAGTGCTCTGAGGAGCAGCTCAGGAGAAAACACCAAGGGGGTGTGGAACTTTAGTGATAAGGAGACAGCAGATGGAACCCCTGTGATGAGATAACAACAACCCCCCAGTGCCTGGGCACTGCATTTCAGGTCTGGGGGGTGCCTGGGCTGCTTGGAAGGGATGGGGCACATTGTGCCACTCAGGGACAGGGACAGTGAACTGCCACACAAGAGGGTGACAGGGGACCTTGGCAGCTGCCACACTGTTACAAGGGCTGGGTGGGAAATAGCTGGGAGAAGAGAAGGCTTGTGGTGCTTCAAGTGAGGAGGAAATGGGGAGTTGTCCCTCCTCTGAGGAAAGAAGAATTTTCCTCTACGCAGAGCATCTGCTGAGTTTGCAGAGAGAGGTGGTGAATTTGGACCAGTTTTGGTTATCTCCTGTTCCAGAAGCCCTTTAGGTTTCTCAGCTCATGACAGCTTTCCCTCCTTGCACTCTCAGGAGGGCTCCCAGAAAGCCTTCACCCATGGCTAGCCTGCTGTGCTGGACTCTTCATGGTGATTATAATTAACACAGTAAAATAACGAAGATAATTCCTTCTGAGCCTGGGAGAGTGCTCCTTTTATTGCTTTGTTACCAGTTAATGACACATCAGGAAGGAGAGCAGGGAAGATGGTGTGGTTGTGTGAGCTTGTGATGGCAAACATCAGGATGGCTTTTACATCTTATTTTCAGGTGTCTGACCTAGTCAGCTGTGCACTTCCTTGCTTTTGGGGCTGAATCTATGTGTGTCATGGTTGAGAGATGGGTCACAGATGAGCATCTCCCTTCCTTGAGGGAGGAGACCAAGGCAAATATAAAATAATGCCAAGGTTTCAAATGCAGGACTGGAGAATGTGGAAACTGGCCACAAGTCAAAGCAATCCATCTTCCCAAGTGCTGATTTGGAAAGCTGGAAACAAATTACCATTTCTTTTTCACTAATGCTTGGTTGTCACTTGTCTTCTTTCTTCTTTCTTCTTGCATGTTTTCTCTTTATTAAAGGTTAAGCACAGCTTCTTGTATGTTTGTTATTAGGGAATGGTCTGCTGTGTAGGGAATCCATTTGGAGGATTTTGAGGTGAGAAACTTGCAGGATCCTGCAAAGAGTTCACAATTCATAGAAGCTCTTTCATGCATATTTGTCCTCCTTGACCATTTATGAGTTGTAGATCATCTAGTTCCAGTTATGATAATCCATAGTTCCATTTATTATAACCATTTAACCATTTTATTATAACCATGATAATCTAGTTCTATTTATGATAGATGATGTGTCACAGCTCAAACAAGAAAATAGCATTGTGTTTAAAAGGGTGTCTTTTTGGTTCATTTGTTTGACCTAAAGATTGAAGCTGCTTGATGAAATTTGTAAGTAAAAGAAGAAATATTTGGTTGAAGGAGTGCAGCTTTTTAGCTTCACCTTCATGTACTGTCCTAATTCATTGGATCTCTCATTAACTGGTAGGATATATATATGTTTTCATTTATTTAGTAATTTTACTTTTTGGTGACAAACACCTTGATTAATGGAAGTTGTAAAGGGCAAAATGGGGGAAAAAAACCCCTGTAAAATAGGACAGAAAGGACACTTGCAGTTCTTAACCATATGTATTAAATTCAGGACTTGAGGCAAAAGGAAAAAACGCCTCCAACAACCTTGTGTAAGCCAAGTAGAGATGGTTTTCTGCTCTTAGGGCAGCCGTGGCTGCAGGAAGTAAATTCCCCTTGGGAGGAGGAAGTGCTGAAGCCTCTCAAGGCTCCTGTGTGTCTGATGTGCTGCGGGCTCCAGCTCTGCCGACAGATGGCCCCAGTGCCTTTCGTGCTTCCCCGGCAGCTGCGAGCCGAGGAGGAGCCAGGCCGTGCCTCCACTGCCTTGGCACTACAGCTGAGCTTTGTTGTGAGCGTGAAACGTCCCGAGCTTTGTTTGTTCCGAATGGATAATTCTGCATGCTGCACTGGCTCCTGCCTTTTCAAGAGCTGGATGTAATCCTTCATTGAGAATTAGATTTCAAAATAAACGCATGCCTGTGAATTCTTAATGCTAGGAGCATTTTTCTACCTGCCGTTTGCCTTGTTCTCCTTTTCTCAACAAGAAGTGTCTCCACTTAACATTTCCCCTCTGCTAAGAGGGTCTCTCCTTGTGTCCCCTGGTTCTGGCTTCTTGCTGCAGCCTGGTGATTTTCCTGCTGCATCAAATATACTCAAGGAACTAAATGTGCCAAATTAATTTCAGCATTAGTCAAAGCACATCTTTATGCAGCATGTTGGAATTAGTCATTCCATACTAATAGGTGTAATTTCTTCTGCTCTCTTGTGGAGGGAAGACCTGGAATGGACAGATTTGTGTCTGGGATTTGCTCCTCTGTGCTCCTTACTCTTGTTTAAGAGTTTAGCAAAGCATTTATTAGCTTAGTAATGTTAGTAATTCCATCAATTTGGATAGAATTGTATTATTGTAAAAAATAACCAAGCTGCTTTTTCTTAACTCTTTGATCGCAGTTATTTGGCTTGACTTGGACTCTGGAAAATCCAGGCAAATGTCAGAGGCACCTGTGGCTGGATTTGATGATCTTCTAGGTCTTTTCCAACCAAAATGATTCTGTGATTGTGGTCCTGCTTGCAGGAGAGACTTGCTAACATGTCTATTAATGATCTGCCACTTGAAATTTCCTCTTCTGCTTTTTTAAGCTAAGTGTTCAGCTGATGGTGGCTGCCTGAAGAGCCTCTGAGGACACAAAAGGCACATTCTCCTGGCTCTGTTTGGTTAACATCTCTCTTGTAATCCTGACTGGCAGCCCCCATCCAGTCACTGCACAGCTCATGACAGCTTTCCCTCCTCGCTGTCACTCTCAGTGCTCCGTGCTGGTTGGAGGGAGCAGGTTCCATTTACAGATGACATGATGACAATATTTATCTTCTGGAAGCAGCAAAACAGCAATTTTCTAATTTTGACACGGGTCTGGATTTAAGTCAGGGTATGTTGTCAGTCCTGGTGTCCACAGCAGCAGCATTTCCTTTGATGTTTTACAAATCAATGCTCACATAACTGATGTGAAAAGCTGTGATAGTATCTGATGCCCACACAAATTATTAGCTGTGCTTCCTGCTTTCAAGCAGTACTCCTGAAATGTCAAACCCTTTGCAGTACATGTTTGCAAACTGAACTTTAAATGATAAGCTCAGCTCTCGCTCATTATAGATAATTGTGTGTTCTCTGTGTCGGGAGGGATCTTAATGCTGAGCTGCCTCTGAATAACTGCTCAGGTTTGATCTATGTCTGTTACCTTGCAACCATAAAGAATATGCTGCTGCTACAATCCTTTAATTGCTTTGAAAGGTAACATTTTGCTGGGACATCCAGATTGTGAATATAATGCATGAAATTTATCTCTGATGTGTTAATTTGCTTGATGGTTGTAAAGCCAGCGAGTCTCAGCATTTATATTTTGGTGAGTTTTGAGTTTACAGTTGTTGCTTGCTGGATTTATTTTTGCAGAGCAGTCTGTCTTAATGTTTTTTCTAACTTGAAGAGTAAAGATTAAAGCTGTTTTGTTTTTTCAAAGAGTTTCTTGGTAACAGAATTGGATTAAGTTTGTTTTTATTGTATTTAAAGCTTAATATAATATTCTCTCACCTTTTCCAAGGCTTGCTGTGAGTAGCACCTTGAAATTCCTTGACTTTCCACTACTTAAAGGCACTGAACTTGGTGTATATCATGGATTAAATTTCTGTCTCTCAGATCTTTTTTTATATTGTATATTTATTGTATATATACATATTATATATGTATATATATATTTATATTGTATATCTGGCAAGAGCTCCATACCAGTTTGTATATTAATAGTCTCTTCATCTGGAATCTCAGTACCCCAGTCTAGGCAAAGTGTCTGCAGTTCTCTTGAAATGCTTTATTTTGCCTAAAATAATAAGAAGTTAGGCCTGCACTGCAGAGATCTCCTTGCCTCAGCTTCCACAGGCACCTTCTCCTCACCTGTTTATAGCTGCATCTGGATATGCTCCAATCTTATTACCAGCTTTGCTTTTCAGGGTGTCAAAACCTCTGATTCACTAATTCTGCCCTTTTGCTTGCTTTGCCTCATCTCTATTCAGCCTCTTTTCCTGAGGCTCTGCATCAGTTTCCACCCTTTCCACACCTCCTTGCTTACAGTGAAAGCTGAGTGTAGCATTTTTCCAAAAAGCAAATTAAAACTATTTTGGTAGATCACTGTCAGGGAAAGTGTCAATGAGATTCAACATAAAGTAGTAATTGCAGTGTTAAATAAAACTCTTTTCCTTTTGTGGAAATCCAATTTCTAGAAGCTTGTCAGGCTTATTAATTTATTTCACCTGTGTTTTCAGACAGTTACTTTGATTAACTTGGAAAAAAATCCAGTCTGAAGGACGAGGAATTTCTCAATAAACGTTCCTGACTTTAATCCTTGCAGTTTGACTGTAGTGGACAGATTGCAATTTGTGCAAACTTTTCCATTTATTTTGAATTAACTCTGTTACATGCATAGTTTTTATCTAGAACTATGTATTGGTGTAAAATGTGTGGGTGGGTCTAAATGAACAGCAATGATTAACTGTGATCTCCAGGTCAGTTGAGCTTTTGTTATCCTGACAATATCTACATGGAAGGCTTATATTATAACATTTTTATTGCAGCTGAATTTATAATTGTGTTGGATCTGTGTATTTTCTTCATTACTTTTTCAGAGCTCTGTTTTCTTTCCTGTGTAGGGTGACTTAGCAGCTGTGGAGGAGCTGCTGAAAAATGGGGCAGATCCCAATGTCAAAGATAATGCTGGCTGGACACCACTGGTGAGTGTTGAAGGCTTCTTTCTGTCATCTGTCTTCTGATCCCATTTCACTTCATCCCTCCTTTCCTCTCTGGTATTTTAGTTCCCTTCACACACACTTAGGTGACAGAGAATTATGCAAAGTGAAGAAGTGATGATAAACAAGGTTAAAAGAATTCATCAGCAGCCACTGACCTGCCCAAGTGTCATTCTCCTTTGCTTGGGGTGTAGGGCAGGCCACAAAATTGATCAGCTGGTGACTCTGCAAATGCAGACAATACAGCTGGGATAACTCAAAAATTATCAATTCAAAACAATGCTTGCATTTAATGGGTTCCTAATGTCCTCAGTGGTTTGGAAATATATCAAGTAGTGGAGTGAAAAAATTGCTCGATTGAATTACAGAAAATAAACAAAAGGTTCTCGTCAACCATGACTTCTTCCTCTCCTGCAGAATAGTCCTGGTAGCCTGGAATCTGGAGGGGTTTGTTCCCTGTGGTCTGACTTCCACACAGTTGGCCTTTGTTCAGTTCTTCTGGGGGCTTTTTGGCAGTGTTGGGCTGTCACAGACACATTTGATGAAAAATCTTTTTGCTAAGATCTTTTCTCTTATGAAGCTGAGAGGCCTCAGAAAAAAAAACATGTAAACAATCATCTGCTGCTGTAGAATGCAAGAGGTGCATCTTGGATTGCTCTCAGGTAGTTGTTTTTAATTAATGGCCAATCACAGTCCAGCTGGCTCGGATTGTCTGGTCAGTCACAAGATTTTATTATCTCTTCCCCTTTCCTCTTCCCCTTTCCTCTTCCCCTTTCCTCTTCCCCTTTCCTCTTCCCCTTTCCTCTTCCCCTTTCCTCTTCCCCTTTCCTCTTCCCCTTTCCTCTTCCCCTTTCCTCTTCCCCTTTCCTCTTCCCCTTTCCTCTTCCCCTTTCCTCTTCCCCTTTCCTCTTCCCCTTTCCTCTTCCCCTTTCCTCTTCCCCTTTCCTCTTCCCCTTTCCTCTTCCCCTTTCCTCTTCCCCTTTCCTCTTCCCCTTTCCTCTTCCCCTTTCCTCTTCCCCTTTCCTCTTCCCCTTTCCTCTTCCCCTTTCCTCTTCCCCTTTCCTCTTCCCCTTTCCTCTTCCCCTTTCCTCTTCCCCTTTCCTCTTCCCCTTTCCTCTTCCCCTTTCCTCTTCCCCTTTCCTCTTCCCCTTTCCTCTTCCCCTTTCCTCTTCCCCTTTCCTCTTCCCCTTTCCTCTTCCCCTTTCCTCTTCCCCTTTCCTCTTCCCCTTTCCTCTTCCCCTTTCCTCTTCCCCTTTCCTCTTCCTCTTCTTTTGATGAAATCCTTTTCTTCTATTCTTTTAGTATAGTTTTAGTATATAATTTTCTTTTAATATAATATATATCATAAAATAATAAATCAGCCTTCTGAAACATGGAATCAAGATTCTCATCTCTTCCCTCATCCTAAGACCCCTGCAAACACCACCACATTTGGTGACCCCTAGTGAAGAACATTCCCCCATTGGGTTTCCAGGTCAATTCCCATCAGGAATCTGACACAGCACCCTTGTATCATCTTCCCTGCCCATCTGTGGAGTGCTGCCATGAGAGGATTCCCCCTGTGGGTTCTGCTTCACCTGAGTCCCTGTCACAATCTGTCCTTACAAATGGGGTTCGTGGGTTTGATCTCAGGGTGCCAAAACAACCGACACGGCACAGGGGATTTGCAGTAATAATCAAAACAAATGCACCTTTATTGAGTGACCACAGCAAAATGTGATAGAGGGATTAAGGGAGAGGAAAAGAGAGAGAGAAAGAGGGGGATATAGCTACCAAACATAGAGATGGAGTTCTTTGGTCCAGTCCAGTCGAGGATCCGCCTGTTACATCATGGAGGTCTCAAAATCTCTAACTCAGAGGTTTTTGCTATATAACTCTATTAGAAATGGTGAGGGGGGGAAACAGATACAATAAAGAATAGTTATAACAGGTAGTCAATGTTCTCAGCAGAGCCATTGTCTTCTTGGTCCAGTGGTCACACCTGCAGGCAAACATCTGGCTTTGGTCAGCTTGCCTCCCTACACACCTCCCTCGGGTTAGGGGTTTCAGTCCCAGTCCTTGGAAGGAGGAGAGGGGCCTTTTCACCTGGGGGTTCCATGTCTTGGTCTTTGATGGAGAGGCATCTTACATCTCAGTCACTTTATGTCACAGTGTTGTAAAACAGGTGAGGGTCTTCTGTGGGAGACCCCCTGAAACTCAGGAGAAGCCCAGCCAGGCTGAGAGGTAGGACAGCTTCCAAGGCTGTTGTTACAAAAAGCACACAGTGCCCTCTTCTTGTTCTCATTGGTCTCAGTGCAGCATCCAGCAAACACACCTGTGAACAACAGCTTAGCACTGTGCTCAGGTCTCGAGCCCCGTGGCGTGTGTAACTTTCTCCTATAGAGGAGACAGGAGGGGGCTTCTCTTCAGTGGTCCTCAAATGAGTATGGTGAGGCAGATGAGGGAAACTTGGGCCAGACTCTCACAGTCCCCCCTGTGGCTTTCCCCCGCAGCACGAGGCGTGTAACCACGGGCACAGGGAGGTGGTGGAGCTGCTGCTGCAGCACCGGGCGCTGGTGAACACCACGGGCTACCAGAACGACTCGCCGCTGCACGACGCCGCCAGGAACGGCCACCTGGCCGTGGTGGAGCTGCTGCTGCTGCACGGCGCCTCCCGGCACGCCGTGTGAGTACAGCCAGAGCGCTCCTGCCTTTAACCACGGCTGCAGCGCCCGCAGGGGATGGGAGTGAATGGGAAGCGCCGCTAGCGATAAATGTGGTTTGTGTGAAGGGAGGGGGTGGGTGTTAAGTGTGTGCTCTGCTCTGCGTACCAGGTGGGTGTTTCCTTTCCTTTTGGTTTTGTCCTAAGCTTTTCTGAGGATGCCTGAGTCATAGATAGCTGGAGTACTGGAGAGGAAAGTAACAACATATGCTCACCCTAATCTTACACTTTTCTGTTGGCATCTTGTTATAGCTGCTGTCAGCTCTGAGATGCTGCGCTAGATGAGTTTTGAACTGCTACAGCTGGTTTTTGTCTCTTTACTTTTACTACACTACTTGCTAGCAGAAGGCATTTTGCTCCAGTCTCTTCTGTTTTCACAAATGACACAGACACAGGCTGAGATTTGGGAATTTTCATTTTTGCCTTTCTGGATCAAAGCACTAATCCTTGGTACACCTTTTAATTAAAAAAGAAAAAGCTAAGTAATATTTTCAGTTGACTCTTCTACACAGTTAAGTCTCCTGAAGATTTTGGCATTTGTGTATAGGAGGTGCTAAAGAATCTTTCAGTCTGTGAATAACACTGTTAGCATTACAGTCACCAATATAATTTTAGGGGCTGTACTGTTGTGCCAGGGCCTGTGTGTATAAATTTGAGTCCAGTACAAGTTATCAATAGGGCGGTGTGTGTGTATAGAAACACAACAGGATGAAGTTTCTGTGGCAGCCACATGAAGAAGCATAAACAAGTTCAGCTTAATCACTTCAGCTCTCAGCATTCACAGTCTTGAAGCTTACAGAATTAAGGTGCTTTGTGGAAGAGCATAGGGGTTCTCATAAAGTCCTAATCTTGAATATATTAGAGTTTAGAAAACAAGACAAAGCCAAAACAAAGACTTTTGACTCAAGACTTCAGCATGAAAGAGTAAAACAAGGATCAGTTGTTCATCTTCACTTTGTTCTTGAGCAGCAAGGACTGGTGCACCTGGAGAAGCTTTGGAGATTTTCAAGCCCCTTGAATATGAGGAGCTGGTTGTGTGCCACACCACGTGTTTGGCTGGTGTTTGAAAGCACAGCCAGCAGCTTTGCTGTGAGGTTGTGGCAGGGTTTCAGCTTTGCTGGCTTTGCACAGCCCAGCTTCCAAATGCCAGCCATGGACTCTGCAGGGCTCCTGTTAGCCTTGGTCTCTGCTGCATGTGCTCACACAAACAGAGGTCAAGCTGAACCTCTTTCAGCTCACCCTACATGAGCAAACATGACTCTGTTGAAACAGCAGCTTTTTAATCAGGGAAGGGGAGATTTGTGTAAACCTTAAGCCCTGCTTTAACTTTTCACTGAATGTAGATAACGTTCAGTTAAAATCTCTTGAGAACAAATGTAGCTGCCATTAATCTTTGTGTGATTTGTCTGGCACGAATTCAGTTCTGTCCATCCTTCCTGGAATAACTGAGGCTTCCAGATCTTCTGTAGGCTCTCTGGCTGAAATGCCACTGTGTATGTTGCATGGAAAGGGTAGGGGTTTCCCCTCCCCTAGTTTTACACCCAGCATTAGAGCCACAGAGAAACAGATGTACGAGCCAAGTGTTCAGGCTTGCTCTGCTGACCTCCTCCAAACACTGTCAAGAAACAACAGAAACAAGAGCAGTGTTGTCTGAGGCTGCTGAGAATGCCTCCTCCTCCCTTCCCTCCTGTGCCCCCTAGCTTCCAGCAGTGAATGGTGCTGTGATCTTCCCCTGGACCATGCCTTTGCAAATCTCACAGGGTGTTTTGCAGCCTCTGCCAGTTGTGGTCCTAATTAAGCAGTGGTTGGATTTGGCTAGGTAAGTGGAACCTTCTTGCATCTAGAAGGTTCAGTTAATTCTTTTTTCCTAGTGGATGCAGGTATCCTTATAATGGAGTCACATCTGACAGGAAGCTTGTTTTTCTTCAGTGACTTTTTTTCCTAGATCTCTCAAAGCAGCTGGCCACAGTTCTGAAAACAGGAGATGAGAACAGGCTGATCACTTAAAATGGTGCAATTACAGTTCATTTCATTATGGCTAGTTATAATTGGTCTCTTTGTACTTAATGCTCACCTTCACATTATTATTTTAGGTTCTTTACAGTAGAAATTGAACCAGTGATGAGTAGAGCTTGCATCTCCAAGGCTGATTTTCTTGAGGAGTGCCTTAACTTGAGAGGTGTGCAGTGTGTGAGCTAAGGCTACACCAAACCAATTTTGTCAAACGGATAAATTGGTCTAATTTTAGTTCACTTTGTTTTTCTCTTTGGTGTATAAAACCCTTTCTAGTCCTTTTGTAGGCTCTTCAGGCTCACAATGAATTAACTTTCAGCCAAGGAGAGGACTCTGCTTAATGTGGTGGGATAAAGTGATCCTTTATCTCACAGGAGCGGGGAGGAAAGTTTGATTAGTTCGCTGTGGTTACGTAAGTGTTTTACTTTAGCTAAACTAAGTAAAATGTGAACATGACAAATGCATTCAAATGTTACTTGGGACACCATGAAATATATAGCATGAAACCTCACAGGAGTGACTGATGTCTTGCTGCTGTCTTAACAGTAGAATTAACTCAGTTTGGTGTCTTAATGTCCCTTGTGTGTTGAAGAGTTAATCTACTGGAACAAAAACAGAGCTTGCATCCAACAGCCTGCTTAGAGCAGTAGTTTGGAAATTTAGCATGATACTCAGTTGTGCCAGGTGAAATTGATTTTAAAGGTGTGCAGTGATGACTGACAGCAGGTCCAAAGGCAGGTAAGACTCACTGGAGAGATGTAGGATTTATCTGAGAAACCTCAGTGGCTGAGGTACAGCCCTGTCCAGAGAGCTGAGACTTTGCCATTTCAGATTTACATGTCAGATATTCACAAACCCATCCAGTGGGCACGTTCCAAGTGCCTTTCAGGTGGGTTTTTCTCCTTTCATGTTAACTTGTAGTGCATTAAGAAATAGCTCTGTATAACAGGAAGCAGCCACGTATCTTTTGGACCAAGCAAGAGCAGATGAGGGCTTCCTTTTTTGCCAGAAATTAATCCTGGGATTTCCTTATTCCTTGGCAAAATTTCTTTTTTGAAATCTCTGAGATTTAATAGTTGTGGCACTTCACTTGTCCACAACTTCATTGAAGTTTTCACTGCCTGGGAGAGACACAAACTACAAATGAAAAATATTATATGGACCAGTGGACCTATTAATTGTCCTACTGGTCCTGTTAATTTTTTTACGTTAATCTCCTACACATAACTAATTTTTATTTTTAGGGCTTTTTTCAACATGCTTGAATTCTTCTTTCTTTACTTCACAGCAAGCCAAGTGATTTGAAAAATTAGATCTGTGCATTTGCAATTTCACAGTACTTCCTAAATGCTTTCACTCAAATGGGCTGTCTTTGCAGTTCTTCATGCACAGTAAGTTTAGCATTAGCAGAAGCTGTCATCCTGCTCTGCTTTTTTAGGTGTAGTGGTTGTGAGCCTGACTCTGAACAAACCTGTGGGAATGCTAAGGGGAAGACCATGGTCCTCAATTATGAATGGCACAGGGACAAAAATGATTATAACCTGCAGTCATTCCAGGAGGCAATAGACCCATGGCACTGATACCATTTTGTCTCCTTATTCTGAGTCAAGAGAGTGCAGGTCTTTGCTGCCCTAGTGCAAGACAGTGTGTTGAAGTTCCTGCTGACAGTAGGTTAATTAAAATCCTGGCTCTGTTTGGATATCTCAGATGGTCTTTCTGGCTAAGATGGTCTTTCTGGCTACACAGATGAAATTTTCTTCCCTCTGTCAGGTTCAGGAAAGGTTTCCATTTAGCACATTCTCAAAATCCAGGTGCTGCCTGGAGAGCCAGTCAGATTTCCACGTGGGAGTTACTGGGTAATGCACTGAGACCTGGCTGCAGGATTTCCATTCACTGCTGAGCTCTTCTGTGCTGCTGGGGCAAAACTTGGCTTGTGGAGCTGCTTAAAAGTCCTGATTACAAAGAATTACCAAGTATTATGTCATTTCATGGAAAGTCATACTCAGATTTGGGTGAGTTGCTCCTCACTGGGCTCCTCTTTGTTCTCAGCACAGCCATCCTACTCTTGGATTGGATTTGCTCCAGCTGTAACAGCCCCCTACTGATTATTCAGTACCTGGATGACTGGCTAACAGGAGGCTGCTTGCACCCAAGGGTACATCTGACACTGGGATGTTTAAAAACAACTTCCAGACAGGCCACCTGTCTTCTGGTAGAAAGAGGGATGCCTTGGGGACCTTGTATTCCAGCTTAGGCACCTCACTAATTTCTCTCCAGCAGAAGCAATTGTGTCTTCCTGCTGAATGTGGAACTCATCACGTGCACTGGACCTGTTCCCAACAATCCCAGATTTGTAGGAGGAGCACACAGAGTTATTGGTATTTCTGAAAACACTGTTTGTGTGTTAGGGTGGCTGTAATTTGCATGTCTAGTTTGGTTTTGAATATTGGATAACAATTCATCTTAGAACAAGGTGGATGATTTCCTTTGTTCAGGTGGGTTGGATGAAGATGGATGTGAGCACCATTTCCCTAAAGCTTCTGCTCCCCATTGCCCTGCCTTACTAAAAAAGTAAAAATGTACTTTTCATCCTTTCTCTTTGAAAAGTAAAATACAACACTATCCTACTTGAAAATCTGTTTTTAGGATGTGTTCCTTGTATTGGTTTTTATTATGTAAACCCTCTTTTCTCCTGTTTCAGCTACATTTTCACACTTCTTCAAGCTCAACAATCTGTTTAGTTGCAAATATTCTAAACTCTTAAACCATTTCTTGTGCTGGTGTTCCTTTTTCAGACCTCAGCTCCAAAGTTTGTCACAATTTAACTATGCCACCTTAACATGCAATAAATAGCCCTTCATTCTTCAATGCTGAATAATGATGGGACAGCATGTCACAATACTCTAGTAAGAAGCAACTAAAACAAGCTTAAAACTGTAGGAGAAAATTGTGAATGAATACAGAAGGAGGAGCAGGAGCTTGTATTTGTACAGTTCAATTGGCAAAAAATGTTCTGTATTTAAGTGGAGTGGGCTGTGTCTTTTTCTATGGTAAACATTGATGAGGGGTTTTTTTTCTGTGGTAAACATTGATGAGTTTTTTCCAACAGTCAAGAGCCTTACTGTGCCTTTGGAGGGAAAAGCACTCCCAAATCTGTGCTACTGACATGCAGGGATTTCCTCCCTCTACCTAGCTCACTGTGCAAGGTCAGCCAGCTAGTCTAAAGGTGATTTTTGGGGTGTTTGATATATATGTATGTATTTCCCCCCCTCTCTGGATGCATTGTTCAAAGGAGCTTTATCTTGCAGCAGTTTGAGTTGAATATTGGCCTTATTTAAGGAAAGGGCAAGAGCTACCCTGATGATGCATGACAAAGCAGGAACAGCATGACAATATTTAATGGGCTGCAACTCCCAGGCCTGGGCAGAGATTTAACCAATTATCTTTCAGTCTGCAGAGTTTGTATTATGCCTGCCCTGTGCTCATTAGTAGCACACAAGAGCTTGGGGCTGGTAATAGTGTAAAATACCATCCTGGACTCTTCTGTGGGGGATTTTTGTGGATTGTTGTTTTCCCCAGGGGCTGTGTTAGTGAGCAGGGCTACAGAAGGGTGCTAAGGTCAGACTTATCTTTCAGCTTAGCACTGGCCAAAGCCTCCTAGTTAAGTCAGAGTGGAGACTTAATAATTCGAGCTGCTCTTTGGGCTGGATTGGGTTATGGCCTTAGGTGGAATTCCCTGTAAAGCTCCCTGGATTCCTACTGCACAGAAATGTGTGGCCAAGAGAGAGCTCTTCAAAGCTGCAGTGGTCCTGTGACCTCTTTAAATGTTTCATTGTTTGATGACTAAGCTTGCCAGGTTTCAGACACTGAGTCAGGGCTTTGTTCTCATTACAAGCTTCCCCTCCATAACGAGCTCGTATTGTGCCTTTGGAGAGCCAGAGGAGCTGTGTGAGGTGGGCAGAAGAGGATCAGCTGCAGCAGCCATTACTCTCACAAAGGGCAAAGCAAGCAGAATATTTCCCCAGAGTGCTGGCACAGGCTCCTGTTTGCTAATGGCAATGATACCTGTTCTGCAATTTCAGGCTTTCCTCCCCTCACTACTGTCCTGCAGCAGCAAAGTTGTATGAAGAAGAAATTGAAGCCATGGCTGAGTTTGATGTGTTTATAGCAATCACCTCTGTCTGAGGAGTGCTGAAAGAGGAAATCAGTCTGGAAGCACAACTAATAACTATGAGGTGCCACCTGCAATCAATAGCTTTGAACAAAATTGGCAAACCGACTAAAATCTGACTGAATTGGCTCTAATGTGTTCTGTGGAACAGCACACTGAGGGAAAATGAGAGGCACACTCAGATTCTGGAAGTGCAAGGGAGCTGTGGCTCCCAAGTAGGAAGCAGATAGCTTTTCCCATAAAAGCACTACCACATCAAGCTCCCATGTTTAATACACTATGGAGAGTCTTCTGACATGTCTTTTATGGCAAATGGATGAGCCAAAAATACATTTCTTGGTTCTATGACTGCAATGAAAGATTAAAGCTGAAATTTCTGGGTCTTGCAAATGATATCAAAGTGCATCTTGAGACAGTTTAACAGGGACTGTGGTTTATTTAACTGAACATTCTGCTCTGAGCATCCCTTACTCCTCAGCCGAATGCAACAGCTTGTAATTCAGTATCCATCTGTCTGGGATGCAATTCTTACTTGAAGCTTTGTGCTTTTAGCTGGAATTACATATTAATAAGAAAGTGGGAGGGAAAGCTACCCAGCTAATATGCCTGGTTAGTTAAGAATCAAGTCACATTTTATTTACTTAAACCCATCTGTGCTTGTTTTGCCAGTAATATATTTGGTCTGCGGCCTGTGGACTACGCAGAAAGCAAAAAGATGAAATCTCTGCTAATGTTACCAGTGAAGAATGAATCATTTTCACTTACCCAGCCCTCTGAGGTAAATGGCTGTGTGGGTTTGTTTTTGTGTTTTGCTTTTTAACAGAACAACAAGCCATGAGTTCTTCCTTTAAATATTGAAGGCTCAGATGTAAGTACAGTACATCACCTCCTTTACAAGGAGATTTAAAATAGGCTGGGAAGCTGTCTTGCACAGTGTTTCTAGGATGTATGTGGAACACTGACAAGCTCTGAAGTTCTGTGTTACAGCTTTATGAGGGAAGACAAAAGATGTTTCTTGTCATGTGGTTCTATTACAGGAAAACGAGCCTGTGGTATTCCTCAAGTATCAGTGCTTGAACTTTGCAGTTGATGTTGTTTTTCTGCATATCTAAATTTGTTCTGCTTTCCAAACTGTCTGCAAACAGCAGCAGTCTTTGTTCCAGGTGCTTTTTGTGTGCCTTTAAAAGGCTGTTGCACTGTCATCCTTTGTCCAGCAATGGAAATAGCAACTCAGCAGTAGAAAATAGCTTTTGGGAGATTGTGCTGGGGTTTTTGTTTTTCTCCTCCTTTGGACAAAGACTTCCCAGGACTTGTAACCAGAATCAGGTACTCAGACCTAACAAATGGCTGCATTATGAAATGCTTTGTGCTTCCCAATGGAGGAGAATGGAGCTGACCTGGCTGATATAAGCAGCCCATATCTACTCCAGCCTTTACAGCCTGCAAAGATCCCTCCTCACTGAGGACACAAGTTGTACCCAGTGGCCAAAAGTAAACTTGCAGCTAAACCAGGACTAATGTGGCTGTTCCTTCCACCTGCAGCAGATGGAAGATGCAGCTCTTCTGTGCCAAACAAACCATTTTGGTATTTGCATTTGCTTTGGGGTGAGTGTGTGCCATGGGATAGCTGCTGGCTGACATGGATGACTTGATGCAGAGCCTGAGGCTGTGGTAACTGGATCTCAAAGGTCTGTCTGTGCCATGGAATCTGGAGTATTTAGGAAAATCCAGGAGCTGAAGTATCCTACTGTATCAGCATAAAGCTCCTCTTACTTTGCATTAACTCTACCCACATCTAAAATCCCACTTAAGCATTGGTTGCTTGCAGGGTAAACTATTAGGGACTTCTACTAAAAGGAAATGCAGATATTAATTATATAGGTTACTTAATAATAATCTTTTAATACTTTGCTAAAAGTAGGAGGTTTTACTACTTAATTGGGATTTTTATTCTCTTTCAACACTGCAGTCTGCCAGGCTGTTGACACAGTGTTCAACTAGCTCTATGTGTGCAACCCAGTGTCTTTAAAAAGCACCAAAGAGGGCAAGGGAGGAAAAACTGATCCATGTTTTGGTACCTTGCATAAGCTAAATGAAATATCTCTAATGTGAAGCTTTTTGCTGTGGAGCTGATTTGTTACATGGACATTTATTCAAGACCCTGTCCACTAAGCTTGCCATGAATTGTTTCAAAATGCTTATTCTTGAAAAAGAAAACTGTCCAGTAAGTTGCTTTCTTTATGTTCCCAAATATTGAGCTTATTGCAGAATTTTGTGTTCACATAGGTGCTGAGCTCCAGCCAGCCAAGAAATGGACCCCTTGGTATACTGGGGAGCAATCTTAGTGTGGAGCAGCAGAAATTGCTGAACAAATTAGCAGCAGTCCTGAAGGCCCAGAGGTGCACTGAATTTAACAGCAGAGGTATGGAGTCTTGTTGAAGTGTCTCTGTCCAAATAGAAGTAACTGCAGCCCTGCACTTTATGCTTTAAGATACTACCTGCAAGAGGCTTTTTATCACTGCTGGGAAGGGCAGTTTCTGAAATCCCTGAGCTGTAGCTGCAGTGCAGTGATGGTTTGTTTTGCATGTAAACACATAGAAAGCTTGTCTGGCTATCAGGGCAGGAAGTTTCTGGGGGAGCCACAGTTTGGCAGTTTATTTGCTGTGTAAAATCCCAAAGTCTCCTCAGAGGCCTCTTCTCTTTACACCCCTTTTACCAACTTTAAGGTCTCTGCTTGTGAGACATCCTGTAAAGTTTTTACTCTCCAGAAGTGAGCCTTGAGAAAAGAGCAAGGCATTGACTGAAGGTTCTCACATGCTGCCTTCCTTCAGATCTTGTTCTTCATTAAGATTGGTGAACCCAAATTATGGGGTTTGGTGGAGTTCTTTTCCCCTCATTGAGGACAGCAATATTATCTTAATCCCTCCTGTGCTTGTGAGCAAAATGCTAAGGTAATTCCCCCTTCCATCTTTCACTTCTGGATTACTATTCCAGAATGTTGAGTGGAGTTCTGTTAGCTTTGTATTAAAGCAGTGAGATGCCTTAGTAAGATTCCTGTCAGAGTTAAATATAACTCTAAAAGGATTGAAAAAAAATGCTGTCCTATAAACTGGAGCCTCATCTGAAGATTTAAGTGTTAGTGTAAAACTGTAAAACCATGAGTTCCCTTTTTCACAGCAAGTGTATGTTGAAACCCACAAAATTTCTAAAAGCTCTCCTATAACTCAGATTATAGTCTCAAAAATCACCTCCTTGTGCTGGAAAGAGTGGCTGATAAATTATTATAGTCTGCTTATTCTTTAAATAATGATTGATTGCTTTTCAGCCAGGCATGGTTCTGATTTTTCTGTGCTTTTAGTTTTACTGATGTAATCTTTCTCCTAGTAACTCACCTTGTTATCCCTGATGTTCCAATGCCAACCACTGTCAAATGCATGATGGCTGTTCTGACTGGATGTTGGGTCCTCAAGTTTGAATGTAAGTATTAAATATGTGGCACTCCTTGGGGTTTTTAAGCAGAAATTGTAGATGGGATTTCAGAGAAACTTTCTTTTTCAACAATTGTCCTACTATCAATGCCATCTTGACACAAAGTGCAAGGGATTGTTTTCAGTTCTCAGGAGTGACTAGCAATTTAATTGAGTATATTTGATTGAATATAACTACTACTTCCTAGGTAAGAGTGCATTTCATTGCTAGGTGTGTTGGATAGATCATAGCCTAGGTATCAGTAGGGAGTGAATTTTTTCATTGCTACATTAAGACTGATTTGGAACATTATGCAAGATACCCTGGGAGAGAAGGAAGGGTTTTATTGAATTCCAGGATTTGTTATGAGCAGTTTGCATTGAAATTGAGAGGAGACTTTGGTTTGTTTGGGATATGTGCTCAAGGCCTGTGGGAAGTGAGCTGATGTTTACATACAAGCTCAGATCTGTTGGAGGTTGGAACTTTTATCCCAAGTTAGCATGCAAGTCATGTTTCAAGCAGTCTGTCATTTGTGTTTATACAGTGCATGCTTTTTTAAATAGCTGTTCTGTGGACTTAAACCCTAAATTTTGAGTTTATTTATTTATTCTGATGTATTTCTTAGTATCTGCCTTCACAGTAGTTGCAAAACCCATCTTCTTCCCCTTGACCTTTATGACTAAGTCCCTTTAGCTAATAAGTACATTACAAATGAGTTAATTACCCATGGAAAACTTACAGATTTCATTCCAGTTTTCTACTGTGTGACTAAATGCCAGAACATAAGGATTCTTTAATGGCCTGGACACTAATGTTTATGAAAACACTGTGCAAAGCCTCAGAAGCTGCAAACTAAAGCACAGCATCAGGTTGGACACTGGACTCAGGGTGTTCATTTGGCTTCCAGACAGTTTGTTCCATGCTTTTTTTTTTCCCCAAGACTGAAGACCTTGTTTCTGTGTGAATCCCTTGGCAGGTTCTTGGCTTCACTCAGCCCAGAAGGTTTGCATACATTCTATCCTCTGTGCTTCCTTTACTTCATTTCATCTTCCTGCTAGTCAGATGCTTAGAAAACTTCTGAATGGTAGGGAGATGTCATTAGTGAGACCTGAATTTAAATCTTTATGGAAGAACTTTCATATTTAGAAGTGATTGAAAAAAAAAAAAAAAGAAATAGTCCAGGGGATATTCAGGGAATATTTTTATGGGTTTTTTTCACAGTTGAGTTTTATTTTATGCTGTTGGTACTGATTAATACAATCCTGCCTGCTAATGCTCCCAGCTTAGTAAGCAACATCCTACTTAAAAGCAAGTGATTCTCCTCCCTAGTGGGAAATGTTAGCAATAACTCATGGGGTCTGATGCAGCTAAGTGCCTATAATTAACAGCACCACTCCATCTGTTCCCACCAGTCTGTTATCAGTCTTCTTCAGAGTCATTACAAGTTAAAGATTGTTATAACAAATAATGGGACTCCTGCTGGTGGAACATTTGTCTAGGAAAAAGAGGTCCTTGCTTTTCCTTTTCATTTCCATTTATCGTGGCTTTTTGACTTCTATTTGGATAAGTTTCCTTAAATGTGATGCAAATAAACTTCCAAAAGTATGTGCATTTCCTGGTTATATAATAAATATAAGTTGTCGTTTATGGTTCACTGTTCTAAACTATTCACTTAAAGTGAATTCATGTTGAAAAAATTCACTAAAATATTTGAAAAAACAAAGCTCAGTGAAGCACTTAATGAAATGCTGACTATGCATAAGGGAATGTTTGAATTTTTTTTTTACTACAAGGTAAGCTGCATTTGACTGCTATCCCTAAAATTATATTTATAGCCTACACATTATACCTCTTCTTAAAAAACATCAGAAGCTTGCAAAAACAGTATTTTATTTGAGAATCTCTTATGTTAACTCTTCTGTTACAGCAGGCTGTGAATCTTTCTCTCATAAACAGCAGTTTCCTTCTCTTGGTGACTCTGTGATACTCCTGTTTCCATGTGTCCATGCACACAGGTCCAGCATCCATTCATATTGGCAGAGAGGTCATGTGGAATTTTCCAGCAGAGTTTGAGCTGTTGGAGAGCCAAGATTTAAGTATGTATCCCTAGTTTTGGGGTTACCTTTTGTCTTCAGGGAGGAGATTAGAATGAAAGGATGTCACCACTGAGCATGATTAGATCTTCACAGAAGAACAATTTCATGTTACCAGTTGCTTTCCCACCTTTTCTGCATGTAGCACACTGTCAGCAGTGCATGCACTTGCAAGGCAGCACAGAATTGAATTGAGGCAGTGTTGCCACAGTGCTCCTTGCCCTTGGCCATAACTTTCACTGGTTTCATTATTTTATTGCCTTTATTATTTCTGGGATGGTAATAGGGCACAAAGTGGCCAGTCATTATCCTTCTGCAAGTGGGCTGAGACAAAGATTCAAGTAGCACTGGATTTCCTCTCAGCTTTATGTAGAACACAGAACAGTGTAATTAAAACCAGCAGAAGTCTTTAATAGCTTTTCAGCTTGTTTTTTTTTTTCTTTAAGTTATTGTCATCTGTTAAAGCAGGGAATGAAAAATGATCTCAGTAATGATATGCATTGAAACAAGCTCGTGTCAGTCCTGGCAGTGAAGTGTCTGGCAGAATTCTAAGCATCTGATTGCTCATTCCTTCCCCTGCTTTGCTTACCTGAAAGCAGCAGCAATGATTTAGTTCTGATCATTAGAAGGAGGCAGAAAAAACTGCTTTTCCTGTAAGGACTCACAACAACAGGGAGTTGACTGGAAGAGCTAGAGGACTGCATGACTGACATTTCAAGGTGAAAACATCTTTCTGAATTTTCTATGCCCATCCTTGTTTAGGCTGCTAGAGCAGAGGAGTGCAAAGCTGCTTGAGCTGACTGCTCCTCAGGCTGGACTGTCTCTCTTTCATGCAAAAACATTTTTAGGTAACTGACTGATTCTCAGCAAAGCCCTCCCTCCTTGAAACACCCAAAACTTTTGATCACTGGAGCTTCATGCTCTTTTTGTACTTGGAAACTTCCTTCAGCAACCTCCTACAAAAGGACTCCTAGCTCTGAGAGGCTTTAGAACTCTCCCAAGTGCAGGTTCTGGTTGTATGGGGTGTGTGGCTGAGGGCAGTGCTTCAAACCAGCAGGGGCTGAACTTCTGCACTCCCTCAGTGCCTGCACCTGCTGGGAAGGAGCTCACAGTTTTACCCTGTGAAGCTGCTGGGGTTTGCAGAGGAGAAAATGGGAGTGAGAATATCTTCAGTGTGATGTCTGCAGAGATTGGAGGTGGGTTGGTTTGAAATAAGGTCTAGAAGAAAAGGAAACTTTGGTGTTTCCAAAGCTCCCTCTGTTCTGTGTCATCCAGGTACTGTTCTGTGTCATCCAGGTACTGTTCTGTGTCATCCAGGTACTCAGTTTCCCATATTTGTGGAGTCCTTTGTTCTAGCTGGCTTCTGATTTGAGGAAAACATGGCATTAAGGAAGATGGTGATAGGAAATACAACCTCATTCATTAAAAAGCCTGTGATGGGACCCAGAGGAGGAACACTCCTGGGGGAATTTAAATTTAACCTGACCTTAGGAAGGGCTACCTCCATTCACTTTGATCACTCTAGAAAGCAGCTGTGACCAGCAGTGTTTCTTCCCAAAGAAGACAGGACACCTGGGGCTCCAAGTGAAGGAATAATTTTTAAATCACACGCTCCCAGCTGCTGAGAATGTTTCAGGACTTGCTAAGCACCTGTTCCATTGTGTTTAATCAATACCACCTGGATTCACTTGTGAGCTCCCATTCTTAAGCAGATGCACTTCAGTCTCTGCAGATCTTGTGTCGTTTGCATGTGATGAGAAAACAGACTGCTCTTGTTTCACTGGTGAGATCTCTACCTCATTCCATGGAAATCTGCCTGTCTGAAGTCACTTTATGAGCATATAAGAGACTGTGTAAAAGTTCTTTGCTGTAGCAGAGGCCAATAATGGCTGTTTATGAAAACAAATTGAAGCCAGCCATGCCAAATTCCCCTAAAGCTTTCTCTCAATCCAGATTTCTTCCTTTTCTTCTTCCTTTCTTCCTTTTCAATGCATATCATTTCTGAGATCACCAGGCTTTACTCAATCTGCATGTAAGTTGTAAAACCTATTGCAGACTGAGCTAAGGAAGTATCAGGTGCACTCTCTATTAGATCTTGGATGTGTAGTATTTCATCTTCTTTGTTGCTATCATGTATTCCTAAATTACCTTTAGCCATTCTAAGAGATTTTTGGGACTAACCCCTGCTCTTTGCCTTATTAATGCAAATCCAGCAAAACTCCACTAAGGCTAATTGAGTTACTGAGAGGTACCCTTGGGTATCTGTGGGTGATTACAACTTGTTCTTAGCAGCCAGGTTTTTTTTGTACTTCATTCTCTTCAAATTGTTTTTGCTGATGCAGTTAGTTTCATTACAAACCAATAAGACTTACATGAATAAGGATTAGAGGGCTCTGATCTTAAATTTTGCAAATAATGACTTCTTTTATTTTCAGTGCTAGCAGCTGCACTTGTATCAAAGGTCAATTAGAGTGGGCACCCTGTTAACCTGCTTGCTCCTTAGATCTCAAAGGTGAGAAGGCAGGGGCAGCTGCTCAGTGAGGTAATCAGGATCAGTGTAAGTAGTGATGTTTTACTGATCTTGTTAGTCAGGGGAGAAAATGAGCAGTGCTCTGTGTGCCAAATGTGGTGGCACCAAGCTCAATGTGGATGCATTAAGCTAAAACTTCTTCCTGCCATGTTTTCTAGGGACTTCAGTGCAGGCTTGGGTTTTGCTAAAATTTGGTGCAAATTATCTTGTTTATACCTAAAACTTGCAGCTGTGAAATCAGCTCTTTAAGAGGCTCTGGAGCTTGGGATGTTCTGTATTTCCAGGGCAGAGCTCTGCAGCACCCCTGTGCCCATGGGAGCTGTCCCCACAGTGGTGTTGGGTCAGGCCAGCTTTATCCATCAGGGCTTGCACACTGACCTTGGCACTGCAAGGCAGCTCTGCTCCATGAGGATTGAAATCCCACTTGCTTTCATACAAGTCTTGCCCTTCCATGGGTGATGGATCCAGCTGCTGAGGTTAAACCTTGCTGCAATCATCACCCTCTTCTCTCCAAGAACAGGGATAAACCTGAACAAACTCAAACTTAGATGGTCCACAGCTCCTGCTGGCAGTAGTGTTAAGGAATAAATCAAGAGTGGCTGAGACCCTGTGCAAGTTGAATGGTCTTATGTTAGAACAGAACAGATTAGATTTTTAGTCAGGCTTGCTGGTCAAGAGTGCACAGACTGTCAATGTGTGGAGGAAAACAACACAACCCTGATCTCTGCTTCCTCCTAAAATGACAGGTGTCTTCTCCAAGTCTAAGGTTCTCTTCCATTTTCAGAAACCTTCTTCAGGGCTGTCCTTTCCTTCTGAGATTCAGTCCTATTTTGAATGTTTTTTGCATAAGTATTCAAGGTGTCCATCTCAGTTTCAGAAGGGAGATGGCATCCTGGTCACTTTTGAAATTAGGATAATAGCAATTCTTTTTTTCAGTCCATTCATGTAACCAGTGCCTTGGCATCAGGTTCTCACTGGTGGCTTTTCAGTGTAGTGCTAAAGAAATGAGAGTCTGATCTCAGGAGTTTTGGGGACTCAATTAACCATGGTTTCTGTTTGAAATCAAAGGGACATTTTGACTTAAGTGATGTAAGGTCAAAAGAGCTTCTGGAGAAGTAGCAGACTGATCTACCTGTGAGTAAAGTATGGAGTTTTATCTCCTTTTATATGTCCTGATCAGGATGATACTGAATTGGATGAAGAGACCATTAAAAGGGAACTGTCTTGTTATCCAGCCATTTATACATGTTAGCAGTATTAAAATTAATGCCTACTGAAAGAAAAGACCTGGCCTATACTGAATGGACTCAACTTAGCACTCAATTTTCACTGAAAATAAAATCTCTAGCAGTAAAAAAAACCCCAACAAACAAACAAAAAAAACTAAAACAACTGACTGGAAAGGTCTGCAATGTGCTGAACCTTCTGTTTGCATCCCTACTCTCAAGTGTGAAATTGAGATATTATTGTTTTTAGCACAAGATCATCTTGTGGTTGGTCCAGCTGTCTCCTGGAAGAATGGTAAAGCTTGTACATTGCTGCTGCTTCCAAGTGACATCATAACACAGCCAGAGCTGCTTATTCTGTCTTTGAGAACCTCACTTGGGCTATTGCATCCAACAGGATTCACTGCTCCTGAAAATGATAATGGAGATTTAGAGATCTAGAAGCAAGTTTTGTGGGAGAGGGGGTAAAAAAGAACAGGAGAATAAATAACCTTTTGTTTAGACAAATTAATATGGAATTAGTTATAAAAACAGCTTGAGCTCTCTGTCATTTTATCTCAAATATGAGAACCAGGGCATGTTTCCCTTTTGTTTCTTTTTTTGTTCTGATATTTGACTTCCTTAGTTCTTTAATACAAACTCTGTAGCATGCAGGAGTCATTGAGGAGAAAGGAGCCACTTGGCAACAAATCAGTCTGAACAAACTCTGAGGTTTAAGGCCATACTGGTCTCCATCACTTGAGATTATTTTGCTTTCCTCCTTCTAGTCAGGAATTCTTCCTCCATGGATAAATAATCCTTGACTGTTCCCCTCAGTGTTGTAAGCACCTTTCTCAAAACCTGTGATATCCATATGTCAGAGCAAGTTATCCTTCTAGATCTTGTATGAAAAATATGTTCACTAATTGAAAATGTACTGTTTTTCCATTACCAAAAAAAAACCCCCTGAGATTTTTTTTGCTCCATGAAGGTGTGTGTGTGTAGGTCTAGCTGTTGCCTCTTGAAATATTTATATCAAAGGAAAATACCTGGGCACTGAGAATTTATGCTCTTGGCTCTTTATGCTATGTGGAAACACATCCTTTGTGTAACAACCATGTTAAGACACAGATCTCTGGCCTGTTTCTAGCTGGGAAAGGAAAGTTGCAATGAATGAGAATGCTGCTCATGCAGACCCTTGGCTGTTTGCATGTCTCCAGTTTGTCCAGGTAACAGGTGTGTGCCTGGTGGCTCTTGTGGGCACAGGGAGAACAGGATGCAGGTGGATGAGTCTCTTGTGGCCCTCTTGGAGGATTGTAATTAGGTGTGACAAGGAACTCGGAGGCTTTCAGCTCCTCACAGGAGCTGGTGGTGTGAAATGGATGATGTGTGTAGGCAAGACAGACCTCACTGATTCTGCTTTCTGTGACCTCAGCTCTCCACTGACATTAGTCACTTCCCTGACTTCATTTGTTTTTTTTTTTCCAGGCAAGCAGCAGTTCAAAAAGACATTGTAGTCTTTTGTATTCATTCAATCTTTTATTACTTTTGTATCCCATTTGCTTCATTTACTGATGCTGGCACTGGATGCTCAATTTGTGATGCACTTATTGTATAAAAACCTCATTTCTGTAGTGAAAGTCCTTGAAATTGAGCTTTTGATGGTGGATTGAAATAAAACATGCTCTTAATGAAGGGACAGTTCCATTCTTAAGATTAGATGAGAGTTCTTCCTTTATGGCAAGTGGCACCCATTAGTATCTGTATTTCCTTGGAGGGAAAGAACAGCAGTGTAAGTTAGAGGCACATTGACACAGGAAGTCTTGTTGAATTGTGGTGATTTAAAATAAATAAATAAAATGTGAAATAGCTTTTAGATTTATTTCTGAGTTATGAATACTGAAATTAAGTTATCAGTATTCATTGCTGTTATCAATAATGAATATGTAAGTTGCCTTTCTGGAAAATCCATGACTAGGTTTGCCCTTCTAGTTCACGTTAATTTTCCTTGAAGGAAGGAACAAGTGCAAATAATCAATCTGATACTTGTACAGGGAGGCAGATATTTGCTGCAGTGTTCAGCCAGTTGTAATTTTCTGTAGGGGTTTATCTTTTTTTGATGTAAGCACATTGAAGAACTTCTCCCTAAAATGTGAATTCCCGTTTCATTTTGTGAATTTGTATGAACTGACTGCAAATTACTGTGAGTTTCTTTCAAGATCTCTCCAGATTAGATATTCCTGTCCATTGGCTACTTATTGCCATGGCATCCAAGTGCCTTTGTCAGTGATATTTCTCTTCATAGCCTTGGGCTTTCTTCCTTTTTAGGGTCAACCCTCCACAGTTCTCTTTTGATTTGGTTCAGTTTATAGTTTTTATATACTGTGGCTTTCCTGTTTTCCCGGTGCAAAGAAGTTGCCTGAACTAGAAACACAGTGGAAGGAGTGAGGTGCTGTAAAAGTTACTGCCTCAGCCACATTGTAAATCCTCGTGGAACCCTTTGCAAAATCAGCTTTGCAAACTTTTTCCTGGGTAATTCTTATTAGTGGCTGCAATGTACATGCAGGCAAAATGTTCCATCCTTGAATGGGTGACCACAGCAATTCCTCTCCCCGGAGTGAGGTCAGGCAGTACATTTTATGGACGTTAGCAATGCATTACCATCAGTGCTTTCTCCATTGGAAAAAATAACTGCTCTTAAAACAAGGTAAAAACATGTTGACTCTAAAAGACAATCTCATTATGCAGCAGTGCTAACAGAAACAAATGCCACTGTTAAACCCCAGATAAATCTCCAGTTTGTGCTGATCTGGAGACCTTGAAATCCCATCTGATTTGTTATTTGAGGCCGTGGCTGCTCAGAAGCAGCTTTGTGCTTGCCTTGTAATTGCTCTTTATCAGGCAATTGTGTCCATTCCGTAACTGCCGTGCTGGCTCCAGGCACTGCCTTCGAGCTCCCAGTGATCAGCAGTTTGACATTTGACATTAAGTGCTTGACCTTTAGAGGGTAAGAGGAAGAGCTAATAATTCCTGGTGTTTATAGCACTGATTTTAGTGTGATATTACTTCTCACCATCTCACTTGCATCTTTCAGGCGCTGTTGTAAATTTTTTCAGGTTTTAAAAGCAAATTGCTAAAGCACACCAAATGTAATGTCTTGCATTGTAATAATTTTAGCTTAGTCCCTAAAATGACATGCCAGCCTCTCTTAAAGCCTGGGTTGTCTAATTTCTGCCTCCCTTATGTGGTTTTTGTAGGGGTACAGGCCTGTCTGCAGAGCTCAGCTCGAGAGCAAGAGGAGAAGTACGAAGTGCAAGGTGGCCCCCGGCGCGGGCGGCTCAACCGGGAGCAGCTGGTGGGTTTAGTGCTCCACACAGCCTGGATTAATGACCTGGGGCTGGGCAGCTCTGCCCTTTGCCACACACAGAGGTGCAGGAGATGTAAAATTTTAATGTGCTCTTGGACAGAAGATTTGATTATGTGCAAGGTGATCCAAAGAGCCGTGAACACCCGTAAAGCTGTCATTTTTCTCCATTAGTGGAGATGTTGCTGTAACCTTGTCAGGGGAACACTGTGTTGCACTCTTTGTAGTATCACACCTGATGGGACAGGAAGTGATGTGCTCTGGTCTTCTCTGCTCAGCTTTAGAGCATAGTTCTGAAAAAAAATTGGTTTTATTACTATTTGTTTCCATTTAAGGCCTCTTTTACATTTAACTGGGTTCACTCCTGGTTATTTGCTGGATTACACTGGAGGATTTACTAACTGCATTGTAACAGTAGCTGTAAATACTCCTAACTCACAGTTCAAACCCTGTTGTGCTGGAAAGTATTTAAACAGAAGCAAGAATTTACCACATAAACAAGCTTTTCTTGGTTGCATACTTACCCTGAGAACCTTGCATGTTAAGTTACTGTTCTGCTTATAAATTGTAGGGGTTTAGTATGCTTTGCTTTTCCCTTTCCACTTTTTTCCTCTCTGTTCAGTTGTCAAGTCCTGTATTCATGCTGGTTTCTTTTTTCCTCCACGCAGCTGCCTAAGTTATTTGATGGATGCTACTTCTATTTTTTGGGACCTTTCAAACAGCACGAGAAGAGTGACCTGCTGGAGCTGGTGAAGGCAGCAGGTGGCCAGGTGCTGGTTAGGCAGCCCAAACCAGACAGTGACGTGACACAGGCCATCAACACAGTGTCCTACCACGCAGAGCCCACCTCTGACCAGAGGCTCTGCACTCACTATGTCATCTATGACGTGGCTTCCAAGTTCCAGCCGGAGAAAATCCGGCAGGGCAAGGTGTGGATGGCCCCCTCCAGCTGGCTCATAGACTGTGTGATGTCATTTCAGCTCCTGCCTGTCAAGTGAATATCAAACAGCAGCAGCAAGGCTTTCAAATGGGCTGAGTCTTGGGAGGCTGGGATGCTCTGACAAGCTGCTGTGAAGCTGGGATTTCTGGTTTGGATTCAGGAGAGCTTTGAGCATTTAAGTGAGTTACTAAGGTGACTGATATGCTGGAATAAATGAACATACAATGGAGGAAAGGATTGAAAAATGTGCCTTGGCTTATTTAATATGCTTTATTTTTACATTGAACTTAATAAATGCTTAATAAATAATCACTGACATTTCGTAACTGGGATTTTGCAAAATGAAACCTTTTGCTTTCTTGATTTGTACCAGCCCTTTGTAGGCAATTGAGCTTGACTCCATTTATGTTGTGTTTAACATCCATTGATAAGGATCTGCTGTAATTATCAAGATTTCCCAGGCCAGAAATTGTATTTTTTTAAAAAAAAGACTCAATGCATTTGAACCTGTGCAGACATGTCAGGTGACATTTATTAATAAAACTTCTTAAAACTGAATTTTGCTGGAAATTCTTGGCATGGGATAAGTCTTGTGGAAATCAGAGTTAAATAAATGACCTGAATTCATCTGGAAGCAGACACTTTTGAGAACACTGTATTTAAATATCTTGGTCTAAAATTTACTTCTTTGTAAAAAGATTCATGCTTTACTTCTGTCCTCATTCATGCTTGTAAACATGTAACTAGAATTCAGTTCTATTTTCTGAAAGCTTTTAAGCATTGGGATCCTTATTTAATTATTATAGTAAATATTTTTGTAAATTTAGATGGTTGCTCTCATGGCTACTTTAAAGAAAAAAAACAGTGATCACAAAAGAATTGCTTCACTTTGCACTGTTGTACCTAAACAGCTGGCTACACTGGATCAATCTTTGATTATTTCATATTTGTTACAGTATTTCTCATAATGGCTCTTAAGTTATTGTCGGAATCTTGTGCCCTCACTCTGTGCTCCCATGTAATGTTTTGTATCTTAGCTTGTGAATTTGTAATTGAGAAATGGTGTCTTGCAATAATACACAATAAGAATGATGGTTGTGGGCTAGTACACGAGTTTTGTGTGTTTGTTTTTGTATTGTTTGTAATAATCAAACTTTTTTGTGTGCAGTAAGTTTGGAGCATGTGTTGCATGAGCTTGGCTGCAGAATAAGTGCATATCCCATACATATCTCAACAGGAAAATGAAAACACTTTTCTGTGAGCTCAGTACAGCTGTGAAGATGGTGTGTGATGCCAACAGCTGCTTTTGCAGAGGAGGAGAGCTGTTCTCTGTTTCCATTGCTGCTGGAGGCCCTGTGCCCTGTAGAACCAACCATTAGAACTGTTCACTGCAGGTAGAACAGGTACAGTTTTCAATAGCATCTGCTGGATTTGAGTAGCTGGAGTATCTTATCACTGATGTTAGGCTGAGTCATTGCTGTTCACTAAAAGCAGGGCTCATGAATAAGTGGAACAGCCCATGGGATTAATGGGGTTTTGTGCAGATGAACACTGACAGAGAATGAGGTACCCAGTCAATACTGTGTGGGCTTGGGCATTTGTCTTAACAGTTATAGCACATTTTAAGTTGGCATTTCATAGCACATCAATATACCTAATGCAGTGTTCTTTGCAAAAGTAGCAGTGAGTCTCTGCAAAATTCTTTAGAATGGAGCTTTTCTGCCCTATATCAGGAAGAAATTTGACTCATCAGTAATCCTGCTCTATGTTCTAAAGTGGAGGCAGCACTTTTACAGACTTTAAGAGCTGTTGTTCCTTGGCAGATGCAAAGAAACTCAGTTGGGAAGTTGCCATGAATGTTTTGGGTTTTTTTAAGCCATGCTCTGAACCTCAGCCTTGTTCCCTTGAATACAGTTGTGTTACCAAGCAGTGTTTCTCTCCAGTGACATTAAGAATCACCCCATGTCACACTGAGGAGAGCCCCTTACCCCAGATTAACTCTGGCCCATCTGCTTCAGGTGTCTGCAGGAATTCAGAGTGTGATCAGCTTATGTACAGGTAGCCTTGAAGAGCCTCACAGTAGATTTGATGCCAGAGCTACAGCAGGTGCCAAACACTGCTGAATGGAGCACTGCAAGTACACAGAATTTAAGGTCAGTGACACAGTAATTACACAGTAATTTGCTCTTTCTCATTGTTGGAAACAAAGGGATAGCACTTGATAGAAGAGCCCTGTAGTAAGCATAGATCAAGTCCCTTCATCCATTGGGTGCAGTTTGGCTCCTGAAAGCAAGGCTCTAAACTCCTGAAGCAGGGTAAGGAGTGTGTAGGGATCATTTCTCACTGTCTCTTCTAGTCTAAAACCCAGGGTGCACTAAAGGACAGGACTAGGAAGCAGGCTGTAAATGGAAAAGGGATTTCAGGAAGTGGGAGAGACTTGTGGTCCTGATGGCCATAGTAGCTTGGCTTAGAAGCAGTGAGTAAATGAGTTTATCAAAGAAAATCTGTGTTAGAGGTTAATGAAGAACTTAAGCTGTAACATGAATTTATGTTGGTGTTCTGCTAACCTGCATCTACTTAATGTGCACTCATGATTGGGGCATTTCACAGAAGCAGAGAATGGGTTGGCAGTGACCATAAAGATCATCTAGTGATCATTACCTCACCTGAAGAGATAGAAGTTCAAGGCTTGCATTCAGGATTGTAGATATTTTTATTGATCTTGATCAAAACCACTGTGCATCACAGAATGGCTTGGGCTGGAAGGGACCCCAAAGCTCATCTCATCCCACCCCCTGCCATGGGCATGGACACCTTCCACTGTCCCAGGCTGCTCCAAGCCCCAGTGTCCAAGCTGGCCTTGGACACTTCCAGGGATCCAGGGGCAGCCACAGCTTCTCTGGGCACCCTGTGCCAGGGCCTGCCCACCCTCACAGGCAAGAAGTTCTTCCTCAGTTAATGATTTTCAAGCATCTTTTCTTGGAAATTATCTGCTTCTCTTAATTAATTAGTTGATCTGGAACACGTGATAACACCTTCAATAGCAGTGTCTGGGGTTCAGTGACAACATCAGTTTAACACCCCTAATAGTTAACAGAAGATAACATTTTTAGTTAATACTGTGAAATCTTTTTGAGAGTTGTTTCAATATTTCTGCAAATGGTTCAGGGAAACAACAGGCAACCAAGCAGAACCAAACAGCAGTAGCTGCTTTTGCTCTCAAATCAGAAATGGCTCACCTGGGAGGTGCTGTTCCTCTGTTTCTCACAGCCCTCTTGAAATGATAACAAGCATGGGAGTGTCCAAAGATACAGCTCTGGTAAAAAAGATGTCAGCTAGTGCTTCACCCAGCTGGCACCTACACAGCCTTTAGGGGGATAAAGCCCCTTTCTTCTGCTCTGTGCCAAGCTGTGAGCTGAGGTTGAACCTGACCCAACCCAGGATGGTTAGCCCTGATCAGCCTGGGCAAGGCTCACTGCAGGGAATTAATTCAAGGAAGGGAGTAATTCTAGGCAGGAGGTTGAAGCTGGTTCTATTTTCTAGTGTCTAAAGACCAGACTTACTCTGGAGCAGTTACTTTGTGTGGCAGTCTTCCAGGAGAACTGCATCTTGGCTGCTGCAGTCTCTGCATTCTGCTCAGGACAAAGCTCATGGAAGCTGTGGACTGGTGTAAAACTGCTGCATGTTGGTGTGGGTTCTTTGGGGGAAGTGCATACACACAGGGATCCTCTGGAGCCCCTGCCTGTGCTTGCTGTGCTGCCTGCAGCTCCTGAAGGCTGGCTTGGCTGCCAGGGTGGCACAGGGAAGGCAAGCACCAGCTCCTCAGTGCCAGCCCTGCAGTGCTGACAGAGCTGCTGGGCAGGAGCACTTCTGGCCTGGCCTGGCCTTTGGCTGAGCTGCCAGCAAAGCCTGGGTAGCAGCACCTTGGCATCTTGTTGAGGACAAGTCTGTGAAACACAGCAGAACAAAGCTTTTCCTTTTTCTTCTTCAGGCTATTCTGTCCTTCAGTGCTGGAAGATCACCTGGAAATGGGGCAGATGTGATGTCACATTAATTGCTATTAATCAGTTTGGCCCCATGTCCTTTTTCTGCCTTTACTTTGATAGAAAGGTTTGAATCTTTGAATCTAAGGGGACTGCTTTGTGTTTAAAGAGCCAACAAAGCAGGCTTAAATACCAGCTTAAAAACAACAGCAAGGGGTCTTTGGACAGCTGGATAGTACTGGCTTGGAAATGGGCAGCAGTGTCTCAGTGGAACAAATGAAGATTCAGTTGTTTTTAATAGCAGTGCAGCATGTTCTGTCTTTTCAGACTTGTTTGATTTAAATTAATGGTAGTTTAACTAGTGTTAAATTGCCCTTAAAAGCAGAAGAACATTTTGTGTGTAATCAGATGGAAGAAGGGGAGGAAGCCTCCCCACCTTTATTTATTTTTTTTCCCTTTTTTTCCTACGGAGAAGATGCACTTTGTGTGCTCCAATTTAATTCCCGGCAGGAGGGCCGGGCTGATGAAGGAGCAGAGAGCCGTCAGCTCCCGCTGCGTGTGTGAGACCCCGCTGTCATTCCCTGATCCGAGATGCCCAGGGCCCGTGCTGCAGCAGGGGTCGGCACTCGTGCCTCCAGCAGGGTGGGGACAGCTCTGCTGCACGCCTGGGAGGAGCTACGGGGCAGCTCCGCCCTCGGCTGCCTTACAGAGCCTGCCCTGGATGTGCAGGGGTGTTCCGAGGCGGGGAGGCTCCTTCCCTGAGAGGGGTGAGCTGCCCTCGGGGCTGTGCCTGCCCAGTGACGCTCACTGCAGCAGGAGGGGCTCTGCCAGCGGGGCAGGGCTCCCCTTCTCAAGGCCTGCAGCAAAGCAGGTACGCAGTGACAACAGGGTTAAAATAGGGATTAAAAAACAGAATGTGAAGCAGCAGCTAAGCTGGCTGTCTTGCTCAGCTTGCTGAACTGATAAAAATGTACTTATTTCTTCAGCTGGTGTGGGGCTGGGTTAATTTCCTGCTAGTTTAGCTAATTCTCAGACTCTTTGGTGGGGGAGCAGGTGGGAGGCTGCTGCTTCTGGG